ATCCTTCTAGTACCTTTCCCACAAAGATTCGAAATTTTGAAATATGGAGCGAATGGAATATCCGATTTCATCAAAACTTTTTCATATATATATTTCCTTTCGTTGATCAAGCTTGAAAATGGGGTCTGCGGGTATACGCCGAGCATCAGAAATGCTGCTGGTGCTAGAAAATTTTACTGTTCAACATAGGTGTTTTTCCTCGTTTCTTTCAGTTGTGACTGATATATTTTCTCATAAAATATATTCTGTACTACTCGAACAATCGATTTGATATAATAAATGCAAATATTAATCGATATTTCCTGATATAAGGCTTTCGAAATCGAATCGATCCTTTAGGTTAATTCCCATTTTTTTGAGTTTTTATTTCAAATATTTATTTATTTTAAAAATTAGTTATTGCTTTCTATTAATTTTAGATGACATCAAGAAATAACTATATTTTTTTTTTGAAAATTGATGGTTGAATCCATTTGTTTCACATTTTACATACATAGCTAATCTAATCGATATTGTTGTAGATTTCTCTTTATTGGTCTGTTCCCGTACTGCAAGAATCTACTATTTTTTACTACGATAACGAATTTTCCTTTATGATATCGAAGAAAATAGTAAAATCGAGTAGATTCTTGCAGTACGGGAACAGACCATATATATTTCGAAAGTTTTTTCACTTTATGCCATGTACAGACGAGCGTTGTTCGCTCTCTCAATCGTTGTTCGACCCTTATGCCATGTCCAGACGAGCGTTGTTCGCTCTCTCATTCGTTGTTCGACCCTTAATTATGAAGTAATTACTTAGTTCCCCATACAAAATTATCTGAGCGAACACCGACTTTTGTACGTTGTTCAATACGAATCACTCTCTGAATCACAAATAATTTTGTCCCATCTCTAACAATTGAGAGAATTTATCGAAAATAAATTAATTTTGACAGCATGAAAAAATTTTTAAAATTTTCAAACTTTTTCAGTAAAATTGAAAATGATGAATGAAAAGTAACCAAAATTCTAGTTTTTATATATGCAGAAGGATGTAAATTTTGTAGTCTACATAATGCAATACGCATTTCTTTTCCCTTGGTTCTAATTAGCGTACAAACCGAGAAACAAAGGTGGGGAAACCCAAACAAAAACTCTCCAATTTTTAAATGTGACATTTGGACTGAGAAAATATAAAAATTTTTTGAAAACAACAATTTTTTCAGAAAAAATGGAAAACATGAATTAAAAGTAAAGAGATAGGGGTTGATATTATAGTCAGGAGAAAGAGAATTATTTTTTTCTATTTAGATCAGAGTTGAACAGAATTAAATTGAGAGTAAGTGTATGAGAGCGTAAGTGAGAGATCCCATTCAAAAATGATTGGCCAAGAGAGAAGCAAAGAGAATACGTGCTTAGCCATCACCGCTATCGTACTATTTTGTGCATTAGTGATTTAGATCCATATGTGATTCACGCAAATATGTTACAATTTTGGCGTAAAACAAGAAACAAAATATTTGAAATAAAAAAAAAACTCTGATGACATGAATTAAGAATAGTGTTGTATGAACGGGTTAATTCATGTACGTTATTCTGAGAGCGAACTACGTTGTTCGAATGCCCGTCAGAACATGGTATTAGATTCTGAAACCGACTTCATAAATGGTCTGTTCCCGAACTGCAAGAATCAACTACTTTTTACTACGATAACAAAATTTTCCTTATGATATCGACAAAAAAGGTAAAAACTAGTAGATTCTTGCAGTACGGGAACAGACCAAAAGTTTGCAATAAACAAATTAGTAAACATTTAAGGCACTGCATGTTAAAAAAAAATAAATAAATAAAAATGGAATAAAGATGACATATTTTAGAAATAGATGACAGATAGAGGACATAACTTTTATAGATGATATCCAGTTAAAATAGATGATTGTCCTCTTTTTTTCCACAATCATAGAACAAATTACTGTTAACAGGTTTAACAGATTTAGGATATGCACAAAATTTGATTTTGCTACATCCTTGCATTCGGGAGATACAGTACATTCTTTCGGAAAAAATTAAAGCCCAATATCAAGAAAACCAAATGCAAAATCGACAGAAAAATTATTTTAAATTATTCTCTATATTAATTTTTACTAGAATCAAAAATAATTCTGATGACAGAAATCGTAAAATTCGAACAATTGTATTCGGGAGATACAGTACATTCTTTAAGAAAAATTAAAGCCCAATATCAAGAAAACCAAATGCAAAATCGACCGAAAAATTATGTTTAATTATTCTCTATGTTCATTTTTACAAGAATCAAAAATAATTCTGATGACAGAATTCGTACAATTCGAACACGAAGCGATTTAAAAAATTTGGACTGTATACACAAATTAGTACCCTCTCCTCTATATTAGTATGCTCATAACTTTAGTCTGGGTTAATACATGCAACTTTATTCTCTTCTGAAATCCTTCCCCCTTGTCACTTTTTACACCTCTCACTTCTAAAAACTCAGCAGAGTTGCTTACAAAATTTACATGTATAAACCCAGACTTACCAAAATTTTGATTCTTTTGGGGTTTTCTTTGATATATGTCGCCCATAATCAGGTCTTGACATATAAAATCCAATTTATATATACTAGCTGCGTAATTAATATGAACTCTAAAACATTTTGTTGTCTGTGGGCAACATTGGGGCACAAAGGGTTAAGGGTGATTTTCCGAACGTTAGGTGTACTGTACAAATCGTTGCCAATTTTAATAGATTTTAGAGATTTTACAGTTTTTTTTTTAATTTTATATATGTAAACGATTATCGGTGCTTAGTTTACTTAATTTGACACATTTAAGGGGACCCCCCATTCTCGGGGTCAAAAATTGTTTTGATTTAATTCGAATCTACACTAATTCAAGAATGTCCCTACAAAACTCTTGAATATATAGCCGATTTATTGTGACAGCATAACGAGACGGCTAAAGAGCTTCTCAAACTTGAAACACGTTTTTCTCTTTTGTGAATGGCGGGCACGATTACTCAAAAACGAATTACCCAATCGATTCCAAATTTTTACACGTTTCTCTGTGAGTGTATAGCTATCGTATGAACTAGGATAAAGCCAATCGGTTAAGATCTTCCTTATTTTTTAACTTGGTTTTTGGTCAAAAATCGGCGATTTTCCAAAAATATTTTTTCAAAGGTCCGCCATTTTGTTAATATCAAAGCGAAGTCAATAATCCTAGTTCATACGAGAGCCAGACATGTAATCCTTTTTTAAAACACCGTTAGAATTTTCGGATTCCGATGTTCCAGTGAGGAGTTATCATGCCCGCCATCAAAAATGAGGACTTTTCTTTAATTAAGTGTTCCCTTAAGGTTTTTTTTTTCAAAAAATGCAGTAAAGTAAAAAGCAAAGGGTTAGACCATGCTTTTTACTTTACTGCATTTTTTGTGACCCAATGTTGCTCACAGGTAAAAAATGTTTTAGAGTTTAATGAGTACCTGATTATGGACGACACATATCAAAAGTAAAATCTAAAGAATTGAAAATTTTGGTTAAGATATGCGCTTTTCAATATAAAGAAAAGGGCAACATGTGTACAGTACCTAGTTGTGTATACAGTACAAATTATTTAAATCACTTCGTATTCGAATTTTACGAATTATAACCTCAAAATCCTTTGTCATTCTTGTATAAATCAACCTAAAGAGTATTTTCAGTGATTTTTTCGCCGATATTCCATTTGCTTTTCTTGATTGTATTTTTATTTCTCGGAAAGAATGTCTTTAATCTCCGGAACGCAAGGATGTAGCAAGATAAAATTTTGCTCATTTTCATTTTCACACTAAATTTTCTTCTATTTTTACACTAAAAGTATTCTGAATAAAAAATATTTAAATACTTCCAACGAATGTATATGTATATTACTTCGATGTAATTACTCATTTCATTTCCTGGTGTCACACCCGGCCATTTTAAATATGTCCACACTCACGGATGTATGCATGCGTGAGTGTAAATGTATTTGAAAGTAATGTATTTAAAGCGAAAAAAAAATAAAGACCAACACACCTTTGTCACTTTACAACAGCAGTGCCAGTGACCTATATTCGAAGCGAATCTTCAACCGGCGATGAATGAATGTTACATTTTCAAGTTCAGTAAAAAAGAAAAAAAAAAAAACAAAGACAACAACAGCCCACAATGGTGGCCAACTGTTGAACATTGGTACGATACCATTCATGGCCTAGAATTCCACTGGAATATAAACCGCGAATAACACACCAACAACGATAACGGCGGCAGTGTTTGGTCAATGAAATCAGACATAAACAATGCCACTGAGCAGAATCCAAAAGTGTGTTTATATTTACGCGATTACCCACCCGCACCACCATCAACCTAAGGAAAACAACCACCTGTTGGCTAACACCAAAATACCGCTACACGTGTCTTCTGGAACACTGTAAACATAAACAAATGCACATGGCATGCGTCGGCTAATGTCAGCTTCTGCGCACAACTCGGCCAGAAGAGTTCAGCAACTATGGACTCCACGTTGCACTGGAGGTCTCTGTTGGATACATGTAAGGCAAATGATGAACTCATCGCTACGTTGTAATTCCGATTGAATTACCAAAAAACTCCAGTATAGATACATGAAAAGTCCATTTTCGTTGACAGCTAAGAAAATTTTAATTCGGAACGGATAAAACTAAAGAAAAGAAAATTCCAGCAAACGTTTCACAAAAAAATATGTTAAAAATTCGTAAAATATTAAAGTGAATTATAAATATTGATGTAAATTTTAAATGAAATTACTGGAGCAATGATAATACGTGAATGATATTGAGAGAAAAAAACGTTGAAAACGAATTGCAAGAGATACGGAAAACTTCTTTGGTATCGGTGTCGTATAGTTTTTTTGATTAAATTGAATTTATATGTCTATACATTTGTGCAGTGTTATTTAATAATAATAAAATAAGAATTTCCTAGGAAATACAAATTAATTCTCTAGCAAAATGTTGCTGAGAAAATTCAATTTCACAATTTTATGGAAAATTTTGTGCCTTTGTGTGATTGTGCTCAGCCCCAAAAATGGTGTCAACCTGGTGGCGACGGCTGAAAAAATCAATTATATGCTGTAAGGATGATTTTCACTGCAGTTTTTGCTTTTCGATTATTTCCCAAAAATATTCAATTCAATGGATTTCTTTTCTATTTCAGAGTTCATTCGTGGGCTGATAAATTGGGCATGGAATTATTTCATTTGGGTGATTTCATTACACGCCGCAAAGAAGTCCAAGAGGTAAGTAGTCCAGAAACTGTGTGTGTACACACACACAGAGGAACATTCACATACAAAAAGTATGTCGTGTGTATGTGTATGGGAATGTATGGGAACATAATGCTGTAATGGTTATAAGGCAGACACTCAGTCGGTCGGTCGTTCGTTTGTCCACTTGAAACATTAGTCCATTGATTTTTTTTCTTCCTACAAATAAAACAAATGTCAATGCAATCGAATGTGGCATGGAAAAATAGAAACAAAACAAAATATCAAAACTAGGCTAAATATATATTTGCCGATATTGTACCATATGCGGATTATTTAGAAGCACTTGTAAAAAATATACGGCTATTTAAACATATGGTTGTTGGTCGGAAAACCAAAACACTTGAAATACATAAATATGAACATACAATGTCAACAAATTTAGAACGCCAAAGTAAATATATGGAATAATTAAAGTATGCAATTAAAACTGCAATTTACCATTTTGTGTGTAATTATAACCGTGAGCGCCTAGATACAGAAGTTCGTGTCAGAATATTGATATTTTTGAAAATGTACAACTAAAAACCAGTGAGCGGAGCAGTATAGTCGGACGGGGCCGACCATACGATACCCTACACAACTTCCAACTACCTTTCTGTGGATCTATATTCTGAGCTTGGACATTATTTCGCGATTTTTGAACCATCTGGACCAACTATTACTAATGTTCAGTACAGCACTTCAAATTACTTGTCCAGATTCCCTTCCCTTGTAAAAATTCGCGATGTTTGGGTCATAATTGCGGCCTCTAGAGCGACCAGAAAAACCGATAAAAATTAAGTATTTGGTCCATTTCATCCCCTAGATATTAACCGATCTTTACCAAAAACAATAGAGGTCTTCATTGGCCAGAACCCATCCTATATGCAAAATTTCGTTAAGATTGGTCCATAACTGTGGCCTGTATCGTGTTTACATAATATAATGGACAGACGGACGGACACACATGTCTAGATCGACTCAGCTAGTCGAGATATGACGATAGTTGTGTAGGGTATAATTACAGGGTATAACGGTATCTTATATGCCGAAGTAAGCAATATAGACACGCTTGAGGGTACACATGGAATCAAGCCGGTTTAATATTGTCAGATCGTTTGTTTTAGGCCATGGAATCAGTATAGAAATGTATGATCGATTTTATTCAAATACTAGCATAGGCCCGCTACTTCGTTAGAGAATGTGAGAATTATTTAAAACCCAATACCGACCATAATTAAAATTTTAGTAACATTTAGTACCCATGTTGTCTTATAGTACGTATTGCCAAAACTACCTCCATATCTCAACCACCCATTCTGACCGCAACAGAAATCCAGATTTTTACATAAATATATCATTTATTACCCTCTTTGTACTCATGTAGTACTTTTTCTAAATCCAAATTGTACCAAATGTCATTAAGTACACATTTGTAGACATTTGCAAGACTTCCTACATACCACAATCCAACACCCCAACAATGATCCTAACTCAAAATGTCATGATATGGCACCAAATTTGTACAAATTAAAAAAAAACGTTCTATATAGTTCAATCCTGCTCCCCTACAATGAACCTAATTCCAAATTTCAGGATCCAAGCTCAGTCAGTTCATCCAAAATGCAAGTTTTACCAAATTCAGTACAATTATGTACCCATAAGTATGAATTTCAAAAACTACATCGTTCACACCAACAGTAACCTTATTTCCAAATTTCAGTGTTTCAGCTCTATCGGTTCATCCAAATCCACATTTGGTACTATTTTGTACAAAATTTCCAAAACTTTCTACATATCCTAATCCTACACCCCAACGGTAGTCCTAACTCAAAATTTCAGGATTCCTGTTCTATTGGGTAACCCAAAATGTAAATTGTACCAAATTTAGTACACATTTGTACGAATTTCAAAAACTTCCTACATAGCTCAATTCTACACCCCAACAGTGATCCTAACTGCACATTTCAAGATTCTAGCTCTATTTGTTCACTCTATTCCACATTTGGTACCATTTAATATACATTGGTGAATTAGTACTTCCCACACATCCCAATCCTACACCCCAACAGTGACCCTAAGTCCATATTTCAGGATTCCAAAAATACATCCATATTCCCAATCCTACACTCCATCAATAACCTTCTTTTCAAATGTCAGTGTTCCAGCTCTATCAGTTCCGGTACCATTTAGTACACATTAATTAAAATTTCTATAATTTCATACGTACCCCTCTTACACTCCGGATCAGGATTTTAGCTCCATCCATTCCTTCAAATTCAAATTGTACCAAATTTAGTATCGTTTAGTACTTTTCGTATGTATCCAAAAAAAAAAAAAATCCCTCTTCTTATATCGACCCTACTTCTCAACCCTAATTTGCATTCTAAATTTCAAGTTTTTAGCTCTTTCTATTCATATGCTACGAAATTGTACCAAATTTAGTACATTTTAGTACTTTTTGTATACTTATAGTTAGAATGTCCATAAAACCCTTTGCTACAATCCTCAATCCAGAGTTCTCACTGCACCGGTTCACCAAATACAAATGGTACCACATTTAGTACTTTCCGTGCCGTTCTAGTACGGATTTCTAAGAAACGCAGCCTTATCTGACCCCTTTGGACCAAGAGTATAGATTGAACATTGTAATCTTTAGTAAAGATCGAAAATGGAGAATATTGTTGCCACTAGTTCTGTTACCTTCTCTACGAAGTGGTCAATATAAAAATGAGGTTGACATTTAGAATATCTAAAATTAAGGGGGCTCCTAGGAAAAAAACAGGTTGCACAAAAATTCGCTCGCGAATGATTCAAAATACATTCTTTTTGTTTTGTGCTCATTTTAAGAATGAATTTATGACAGGCATGCTTACCCATATACGCTACCGTAACTGAGGGTCGATGGGTAAACACATTTTCTCTTTCTTTCTCTTTACGTCAGTCGTTTTTAATGGTGAATTCTCAGTTACGCTCGCACACACTTGCTCTCAATTTAATTTTGCCCAACACTGATTTATGACGATAAAGAATGGTCGCACACACATAACAAACGAGTGAGAGCACACAACAGCGTACGTTCGTTTGGTGGTTGAAATTCTTTCTGACATTCTCTCACGAATGAAAGCAAACATTCCCGAATTCTCGCGAATGCTCAAAACGGCAACTACAATAAAAACAAACGTTCGTGAACTCAATAGTTGTTGGACATGTGTTTTGTTATTCCACACACTTTCTGCTACACACACATTCTTTCGTTGTTTGTGTGTGTTTTTATGATATTTTTGTTTGTGGCTTTTTTAACAGTGCTCGCGAGAATTCCCGAACATTTGTTTTTTGCGTTTTTCAAAAGAATATTCTTCAGCAACAAATGCTCGCGAAAGAATGAATCGACGACGCTTGCAGCGAAATTTTATCGTTCGTGAATTTTCCGTACAATGCGAACATTCGCAAGAGAATGCAAATGCTTGTGCATTCATTGGAACTTTATCATTTACGATAAATTGAAAACATTCAAATTCTCGCCCGTGAGCTTTCGTGAGAAAGAGCGTATTTTGATCATTCTTCACACCCTGGAAAAAAGTCATGTTATGAAAAGACATTGATCATACCGAAAAAGACGCGAGAAAAATATTTTTGAAATTCTCAAATACCGATACCAAAACGAGGATCTATATTGATAATTTCTGGTGGTGAGATTTGACATTCAAAAGGAATACAGGGTAGCAAATTACAGCAAATTCGGTTGAACATGTAACTTCCGTTATGAAAACGTAAACAAAATCAATATTTTGGACATTAGACTTGAAAAAAAAAAACAGATGACTTTCGCTTGATTGGTGACCTAATTAATAGGTCTTGCTTAAGACTATTTGTGTCTGTCTAGTCAGCTGTTTCTAATTTGTTGCTATGGATGGTATCTATGTTCAGTATTAATACGGCCTTCTGCCTGGCCGACTGCATCTGCATGAATTATAATCAGAGCATCCCGATAGGCATGTTGATTTTCAGTTTAAATCTCTATCTCTAGAACAGGATATTTCGCCTGACGTTCCTGGACGGGAGAAGTCTATTCATAAGGCCGTGTCAGGTTTTATTGTTATAGTATGGGATCCACCTGACTCCTGAGAAGATAACTTATTCCATGCGATTGACAATGTTGTTAGCTTTCAAATGGTATGCATACAGATTTATTCTGTTGGTGAAAATCTGGTTCAAAATTTTAGTAATCCGAATATGTCTTCCTGGAATATTTTTTGGTAAAAACTTCAGAAGAATCCGACAGCTTTTCATAATGTTTTCTGAACAAGGATCGGTTAAAAGTGGAAAAGGATGATGTAAACATGCGAATATCCCTTCTTCCCTTTTGGGGACCCAAATCATAAGAGGAAAAATTTTGTAGAAAATTTAGAGGTAAAAAGCTCTAATTTTGTGGAAGTTAGTTTGCGATTCATGAAAATATGGACGAAAATACCGACAAAGGCTCGAGACAGAGGGATGATATGTTTTACAAAAATATTTCCCATTCGATTTGACTGAAGACTTATCTGATTACAAAAATAACCTGCAACAGCCGCAAATAAACATACAGATCTTTTTCTTCGTGAACTTTAGAATTACCAGTAATGCTTGACCTAGTCTTTCTGGGCTTTTAATACAATCGCCGTACGTAAAATGGAACAAAATAGGATTTTCAGAATCCTCCTAAAACCATAGGACCAAATTATTTTTTTTTGTTTTTTGTCCAAACTTGTTTCAAGGTGTCCAAAACGGTAACACTACTCGTCACGAGATTTCATTCACACAAGATATTTCCACCCGCCAGACTACGATCCACGATTTACTGTCACACTGATATATGAGAATGGTAGAGGTTGAACAGTTCTGGAGAAATCATTCCACCTTGAGGAACTGCCTATTTTACTCTATGTGTTCCTGTTTCCGAATTCCACACATATAGTTGAATATCCAAATACGGCCAGAGGTTTGTCTTTATGTTCTCGAACAGTTTGGGATGGTTGACGGTATCGAAGGCCTTCCATAGGTCAAGTGACACCATGACAGTTCGGTTGCACGGTCTGTTCTGGTACAATGCTCTCCTTATATGTGTGGATATGATGTGCCATGCTGTTGCACTACTTGTATTTTACGGAATCCTCGTTGGAAAACTGTCTCTAATCGATGGGAAGAGTAGTGCACTTAGTGTCTTTGCTATTGGCGACAGAAGTGGCATCGGCGTGTACAATTCATCCAAGCTGCCAGGCTTACTAGGCTTCAGGAACTATGATGTTGCTAATGACAAATTGTGGACGACTCCGTGTTCGTCCAGGTGTTTAAGAAATACCATGGCAATTAGGGCAGAGCGCAAAGATCTGGATGACTTAGCGTTCTTGATGACATTTACAACATCACTCTTGTAAATTGTGGCCTTACTTCCTTAGCTGAGAATACTCTGAAGCAACGTGGCATACTACTTTCGGACATGTATTATGTCTAGTTGATATGGGTTGAGATTTTGGATATATGAAGTATACTGAAACTTCATATATTTTGTCGAAATGGAAGCTATATCCAAATCTAACAAAACCCAGCATAATGCAATGCCGGTAGTGGATAAAAAAAAACTTGGCGACTATATTTAAAAGGGTTTTCCGTGTTCGAAGTGGCAGTCAAATTATTTGTATTTTTTTTTTTTTTTGCTTATAGGTCCCTGTTTTGACAATGCCAACATCCCATTATTGATATTTCGAATGTTTCATAAGTATTTTCCAACGAAGTGGCTGTAAATCGGCATTTGGAGTTCGTGGAAGGTGAAAAACATTTTTGTAATCTTCGATATAAGTTAATGTTTTGACATAGTCCCCACAATTTGTATTTTTCTTGGAGGGTTGAAAACTTTTCTGCAGAGCATTTTGAATGTAGGTCAATTTTTTGGGATACCCCGAAGTGGCTGTAATTTGGCATGTTGGGTTCGTGGAGGCTTAGAAAATATTTGCATTATTTGATATACATTCGTCCATGTTTTGACTTAGCCTCTATTTTCGGTTTTTTTCTTGAATGCTTTGATAACATATTTGCAGAACATTTTCGATTTAGGATCATGTTTTAGCATACCTCGCCCACAATTTCGGTATTTTGAAGATTTCAGTGCGTGGTTGTAATTTGACATTCCGTATTCGCGAAGAGTGAAAACAATATCCAGATCCATGTTTTAACATAGACCCGCCCCATTTTATTGCAGAGAATTTCCCCCCATATGACGGGACCGGACCAATTGGAAAATGTTCGACATAGATCCATATTTTGACATAGCCCACATATAAACGTTCCGATCCATTTTCAGTATTTTTATTGTTTTAAGCGAATTTAACTACCGAACTGCCTAAATTTGGCATTTCGTATTTTAAGAAAATAAAACAAATGGTTTGCAGTAACTTTCCTCTATAAAGGTATCGACAATTTAGCCGTATTCAAGCCACAAAACAGATTTTAATTCGATATACCGGGTTCTGGGAGGGTAAAATATTTTTGCAGAACATTTTCAGTATAGCCTCTTACTTTGAGATTGCACCCAAATAATATTTCGGCGGAATTTAAGGTTTTTAAAAACGATTTTTCATAATTATACTATGGAAGTGATAGTGTTATGGAATTGCAGGTTCTCGGAGGGTGATAAGAGAACCTAAGGGTCGGTAATTTAATTTTCTTAAAAAGAAAATAAAAGCCCAAATAGAGGTTCCGATCTGTTTAAAATAATTTTCATTTGTGTTGGAGAGTATAATTATCGATTTTTACACCCTTCACCATAAAGTATATTAAATTGTTCCTTCCGTTTTCAAAAACAAAAATTTCGGTCCGTCCGTTTGCAACACCTTGAAATATTCACCGATGACTCCGCAAAGTATATATATATATTCTTGATCGCAATAAAATGCTATGTCGATTTTTTGTTTATTTTGGGTTCACATGGTATAGCATATCTCCGTACCAATAATGATTTGTATTGATCCAAGTTTCAAGGTAGCCCCCACACAACGGAATCCCAAAATATTTGGTATTTAGTGTATTTGTTATACGTTTTTCAACGGAATTGGCTGTAAATTAGTATTTTTGGTTCTCAATTATTGTTACTGACTCATGTTTCAGGTTAACCTCCTTATAACGGTACGCCCAACATACGTTATTTTTTGCATATTGGACACACGCAGATCGGCCCATAGATCTTTCGGAGAATTTTCTTCCAAACACTCCAAGAGCACATCCTTGTATTAAAAATTATTAATATTATATCAAGCCTCCATGTAACGATGTAGGGATAATCTCTGTACTAAAAATGATTTCACTACCCATAATGACCAATATTGATTCAAGTTTTGGTATTGCCCCACCACTTCACCACTCTGTGGTACAGGGTATTATGTCATTGTGCATATGTTTGTAACAGGCAAAAGGAAACGAGATAGGCACATGGTTCCTTCTGAGAATATGCATCGAATTACTTTTTAAGCCGATTTATGCATGTCCGTCCGTCTGTCTGTCCATGTTAAATTGTAAACAAAGTACAGGTCGTATTTATTATCCGAATTGGATGAAATTTGGCGTACGTCACTTATTTGGCCCAAGGACGAACCCTATTGAAATTGGGAAAATCGGTTCAGATTTAGATATAGCTCCCATATATATATTTAACCGATTTAATGTAAACGGTCCCTATATAGCTTTCGATTTGCACGAAATTTGGTACAGCCTAATCATTTAGGGCTATAATTATGTCTGCCAAGTTTCATGAAAATCGGTCCAGATTTAGATATAGCTCCCATATATAGTTTCGTCCGATTTCATGTAAATGGTGCACCAAAGTCCCTATATATCCTTCGATTTGCACGAAATCTGGCATAACGTACTGAATTGAGCCTAGAGTGATGTTTGCCAAGTTTTGAGAAAATCGGTCCAGATTTAGATATAGCACCCATATATAGTTTCCTCCGATTTCATGTAAATGGTGCGCCAAAGTCCCTATATATGCTTCGATTTGCACGAAATTTGGCATAACGTACTGAATTGATGCTGGAATGATATGTGCTGAGTTTCGTGAAAATCGATTCAGATCTAGATATAAATATTTTCGTCCGATTTAATCTAAATAATGTACCAAGTTCTTATGTTGTATAGCGTTTTGAATTTAATCCAGAATGATGTGTGCCAAGTTTCGTGTAAATCGGTTGAGATTTAGATATAGGTCCCTTATATTATAGATTGATTTTAAGTAATTGACGCACCAAGGAACCAATATATGGCTGATAGGAACAAAACGTACTGAAATTAGTATAACCTAACCTGTGATAAGTTTCGTTGAAATCGGTTCATATTTGGATATAGCATCCATATATAAGTAAATTGTGCATCAAACTCCTCATATATGTTAGATTGACATCAAATTTTGCACAACGTACAAAATTGAGCATAGAATAACGTAGTTGGGTTTTCTAGAAGTACAGACCTAGCCCAACGGATGACCTATTGATATTTGTATGAAGTCGATTTACATAATTTTGTCCCGTTGTAACAAACGAATGACATGTTTATGGATAGATCTAGGTCGTTTCACATTTAGATAAATATCACATATTTTATTTCATACAATTTCATGATAATAGTCCTGTTTAATATACCCATAGTGGTGAAGGGTATCATATAGTCGGACTTTACTACTTTCCTTACTGGTTCCATATTAAATTTTAAATATAAAAAAAATCCTTTCTTTTCATTTTTCAGAGTTTCAAACAGGCCCAGGTTGTATCAAGATCTGGATCAAAAATTGTGGAGAATATGGCCAATGAAGTGAAAACTATGATGGATTTAAAAATAAGTGCTGTTCGCGTAAGTCGGAATTATTTTGATTTTGTTTGCCAAACACATCGTCCATTCAAAGCTTTATACCAAACATTAAATAATAATATTAAATATTTATGCTAACGGATATTTTTATTCTACTTTCGAATATACATATTTAGCGCATTATGGATACCGCCGAAAATACTGCCTTAACATATCAAATGGAAAAACCCAACAAATATTTTTCTTATTATAATTCGAAAGAAATGATTGAGCCACACGAACCAGTACCAACGGAACCGCCACGCGATCTCGAAGATGCGGGCGGGCCGAAAATTTTCATAACACCTAAAACGATTGTTCTAACACCGAAAGAGGAATTTTTTAATACGCCCGTCAATATGACTGTTAGCTCAGTGCATGTGCCGACGAATGTTTACGATAGAGGTTCGAGTTATTTGTTATGTTTATAATTTTCTTTTGTGTTTTTGTTGTTTTCTTTAACTTTTTAATTTTTTGTGTGTATCTATTCGTCCACATCAGTTAATTAGTTGGTATTGCTAACAATAATAACAAAAGTACACTAGTTTTATTTTTGTTTAAAAAATTACATATTTTATGCAAGGGTTTCATAAAACGCACACATTTTGTAAAAACATTGATATTGAATGTAATGGTAGAAATTAATTTTATGTTTTTTCGAAATTCGAATTTATAAAGGAGATTTAATTACATCTAAAAATCATAATAACTTAATTAACCCTTTGTGGCCCAATGTTGCCCACAGGCAAGAAAATGTTTTAGAGCTTATATTTTATATGCAGTAGTAGATATGTATTATTTGGATTTCATATGTCAAGACCTGATTATGGACGACACATATCAAAAGAAAAATAAAAAAAATTAAAATTTTTGTAAATTTATGAGCTTTTCAATATAGAGAAGAGGATAAATTTGTGTACAGTACTAATTTGTGTATACAGTCCAAATTATTTAAAACGCTTCGTATTCAAATTGTAAAAATTTTACCCTCAGAATTATTTTTGATTCTTGTAAAATTGAATATAGAGAATAATTTAAAATGATTTTTCTGACGATTTTGCAGAATGTACTGTATCTCCCGAATGCAAGGATATATCGATGTCAAATCTTGTGCATATCCTATTTAGGATAGTTTCATTAAATCTGTGAACAAAAATTTGTTCTAAGATTGCGGAAAAAAATTCGGGGCTCAAAGGGTTAACAATAAGATAAGGATTATATTTTAGACCTATTTAACACTGTTTTTATGTGTTCTTCCATAATTTGCCAGATTTTCATGTTCGTATAATAGTCCCTTTCGAATTCCATATCCCAGTGTGACTTATACTCCTAGTGTTATAAAAAAATCCTCTCATGTTATACCTTAGTTAGTTTTTTTTTTATTTTAGTAATTTTGAAACTCAAACTAGTGTACTTTATTATAAAATAAAAAAAAAAAAAAAAAAAAGTATCACACTAACATACATATACAAAATTATATATAATTTTTTATCATTAAAAATGAAACCAAAAATATGTGCACCGCTTTTGGCAGTTAATTGTTTATTTATTTTATTTTTTAATATTAAGAAGCACCCAACTTTTTGAAAAAAGTATGATTTAAAGACTAACACGAAAAGGATTTCCATTGGAAATTATTCCGCAAACGTAACCTATGACCGGAATGTACCTAATAATAATACACTTGAATACACGAATACACGCCTCAAGCAGCTCACCAGCAAATATCATGGTTACGATTGCGGAAATTATTTTAATGGAAATTCAAAAAAAAAAAAAAAAAAAACAAAGAAAAAATTGAATGGCTTTTAAATGCTTTTTTTTTGTGGACACTATGCATACATTTACAAAGCAGAAAAAAATAAGACATACACAAATGTAAAGATGAAGGTTCTATTAAAGTGTTACATACGAACATTTTAAAAATCGCAGTGATCGTCATATTTTAAGACCCACCCATTCTCAGTTTCAAAAAATTTACATTTGTTATACCCTCCACCATACTATGGAGGGTATATTAATTTTGTCATTCCGTTTGTAACTCATCGAAATATTCATTTCCGACCCTATAAAGTATATATATTCTTGATTTTTTTAAGTGATTATTTATACTCTTTCAAGTCGAGCTTGATGATCTAAGTTTTCCAAGGAAAAGGAAAGCCAGGAGAAGAACCTACGTACCCACCATTATGCGACGCGTTTCGCCGTTGGTTAAGCGGCTCATCAGGCATATTGGGCTATGTGGCTTTACAAAGGTCGTACGTTGATAACTTGTATTTATTCCGCCCTGATGCGAAACTTGCATATGCGAATTAAATTCAAATTTGTCAAAGTTCGACATTTGTCTTCATTCTAGGAACAGTCCTTTTCAAAGGAGATATTTGTTGTAGCGATGGATAATTAATCCACACACCTACAATTTCTTCCATGGTATACACATGTTTTTGCGCAATGGTTTTGGAAGTGTGTTGATGGCTCAGAACGTTAAGTGGTCTGGCAACATTAGTGTTGCTCCGAGGACCTAGGTTCGAGCCCTAGCCGTGCTCAGCTGAAATTAATTATTGTTTCAAAGTAATTTTAAGTGATTATTTATACTCTTTCGAGTCGAGCTTTATGATCTAAGTTTTGCAATGAAAAGGAAAGCCAGGAGAAGAACCTACGTACCCACCATTATGCGACGCGTTTCGCCGTTGGTTAAGCGGCTCATCAGGCATATTGGGCTATGTGGCTTTACAAAGGTCGTACGTTGATAACTTGTATTTATTCCGCCCTGATGCAAAACTTACATATGCGAATTAAATTCGAATTTGTCAAAGTTCGACATTTGTCTTCATTCTAGGAACAGTCCTTTTCAAAGCAGATATTTGTTGTAGCGATGGATAATTAATCCACACACCTACAATTTCTTCCATGGTATACACATGTTTTTGCGCAATGGTTTTGAAAGTGTGTTGATGGCTCAGAACGTTAAGTGGTCTGGCAACATTTGTGTTGCTCCGAGGACCTAGGTTCGAGCCCTAGCCGTGCTCAGCTGAAATTAATTATTGTTATTTGAATTTTGCCTTGTAAGGGCAGTGATCATTTCAAAGTAATTTTAAGTGATTATTTATACTCTTTCGAGTCGAGCTTTATGATCTAAGTTTTGCAATAAAAAGGAATCAGGGTAAAATTCTAAGACGATCTCGCCATGTCCGTCCTTCTGTTGTAATCACGCTATCTTCTGAAGGAATTGAGATAGGGAGCTGAAATTTTGCATAGGTTTGTCTTTTGTCTGCAGGCAGGTCAAGTTCGAAGATGGGATATGTTGGTCCACGTTTAGGCATATCTCCCATATAATAGTACCCCAAAATTTTTGGGGTTCATGAGCGCGTTTTCAACCAAATACGTTGAAATTTGGTACATTGAGTTCTTATTGGGCACTAAATGTCTCCACAAAAAATTATAAATATAGGTCCACTTTTTCTGGTGGTCCCCATATAACGTTAACTCAGTATTTTTCAGTATTTTGAGGGTTTTGATCGTATTTTTCCACCGAATTGGTTGTAATTTAGTGTTTTGAGTTCTTAATATGTATCAAATCTCTCCACAAAAAATTATAAATATAGGTCAATTTTTTCGGATAGCCCCCATATCAGGGTACCCCCAAAATACCGAAATTTTGGGGTTCTTGAACGCTTTTTTCAACCGAATTCGCTGCCATTTGGTATTTTGTAGTCGTATATGGTAACAAATCTTCCTACCAAAAAATTTTAAACATTCACCCCCTTTTTGGGGTCGTCCCCATATAATCCCCTTTTTTTATATTAAAATAGTTATATGATTTTTTCCGTGTTTGAGTTTGGTTCTTAGACTCTTACTTACTTACTTAGCTGGCTTGTTACAGAACGGTTGTTCCATAAGCCGAGGTCTTGTGCGTATGTCCACCAATTTGGAAAACCACGTTCCAATATGTTGTTTTCTACTTGGTCTTTCCATTTAATTCGTGGCCTTCCCCTTCTACGGGAACCATCAGAAGGCTCATTTGTATATACCTTTTGAGCTGGGACATTTTCATTCATCCGCACAACATGGCCTAGCCACCGTAGTCGCTGCAGCTCAATACTACTGACTATGTCGATGTCCGCGTATAAATTGTAAAGCTCATGGTTCATTCGACGCCGATATTCACCGTCGACGCATATCGGCCCGTAGATCTTTCGGATATTTTTTCTCTCAAACACCCCAAGAGCTGCCTCATCTGCTTGCGCAAGTACCCATGCTTCTGATCCATATTGTTTGTTTGTTGTTGTTTGTGAGTTTGGTTTGGCGGGAGCTGGCCTTGTTTCTAAACTGCTTACTTAGACCATAGTAGCATCTGTTGGCCATCACAATCCTTCTCCGAATTTCAAAACTGATGTCATTCGTTTTATTTATGGCGGTACCAAGGTATATAAAGTATTTAACTACCTCGAAGTAGTAGTTCTCAAGTTCCACAGTTGGTCCGAGTCTACTGGTCGTCTTGCGCGTTGATACCATCAGCTTGGTCTTCTCGCCGTATACTGCCAGACCCACTTTGGCAGACTCCTTTTCAATTTGTTCAAAGGTGGCTGTTACCGCTCGCAATGTTCGACCCATTATATCGATGTCATCGGCGTAGGCGAGTAACATGTGTTGTTTGGTGTACAGAGTGCCATTTCTGTTCACCTTTGCGTCTCGTATGACCTTTTCCAGTAGGACGTTATAAAGGTTCTTAGACTCTGTTGTAATCATTTCATCTGTTGAAGATACCAAAAAAAAAAAAAAAAAAACTAGAACATAAGGTTCGATAATTAACCTTTTATATATATATATATATATATATAACTGTTACCCGTATTTAGCCATAGCCCCTGTATGGGAAGTACCAGAAGGAGTGGACCGATATTCCCCATGTTCGAACTTGAACAAATTTTGGAAGAAATATAACGATGGGCAAAGTTTGGATGAAATCGAAATTTTCTAAAAAAAAATTGTTCCAAAAAACATGGGGTTTAGAACCAATATTTCGATGAGGCTCATTTTCACCGTGTCAAAGTTTATACACACTCATCAGCCATAAGGCTGAGGGTATAATTATCAATAACAATTCTGAAATTTGTATTATGGTTTACATAATCGGTTTGTAGAAATGTCGGTATAGATGCACTTTTTGGTATTTTCCCTATATTTTAATTTCAAGTACCTGTCAGTATATCTATGGTGGAGGGTATCCAAAGTTCGGCTGGCCTTGTTTCTTGATTTGATTCGAACCTACACTAATTCAAGAATGTCCCTATAAAATTTCAAGTGAAAATCTCAACAACTTTTGAAGATATAGCCGATTTATTGTGTCAGCATCAAGTGATGGCAAGAGTGATAACGCGTTTTTCTCGAAACAGTGTTCTTACGAATGGCTGGGAACGATAACTTAAAAACGAATAATCCAAACGGTTCCAAATTTTGACACGTTTCTCTGTGAGTGTGTAGCTATCGTATGATCGATTTAAGTAATAGTAGAAGGTAACAAATTTTAGGGTAAGTCAGAGATTTCATTGCGATATCTTGAAAAGCTGAATAAATTATGCTATGAGTACTTGTTCGTTTGATATGTAACCTATCTTAATGGGGCTCCAACCAACCAATTGGAACAATATTTTTCATAGAGCCTTTGCTTTCTGGAATCCCACATTAAATAAGTGAAGTAAATTTGGTATGATAGCGTATAACTAATGTCAACAATAATACGCACCAATAACTAAAATTGTGTGATCATTTTAAGAGTAACCCTCCCATTCTCGATTTTAAATTTCTAAGATTTCCTCTGGCTGACGAATGTGGGTGCAATATTTTGAGGGCATGCAACTTGGTATATAAGTACATGTTTTTTGATATATTAAAGTTCCTATTCCAATTTTGAAAAAGCTGAATAAATTAAGCTATGAGTACCTTATTCGGGCTTCAACCAACTTAATTCGACCAATATTTTTGTAAATTTGGTACGGTAGCGTATAACTAATGTCAACACTAATACGCACCAATAACTAAAATTGTGTGATCATTTTAAGAGTAACCCTCCCATTCTTGATTTCAAATTTCTACGAATTTCAACCGGCTGTCAAATTGCCGTGCATTTTATTTGCGTGTAACTTGGCATGTAAGTACTTGAAGGCATAAAGGATAAGAGAGTTAGTAAACACCCCTACAAAATGTTCATTATTAGTACCTTTTTCTCGATAGATTGTAGATCCTATTCCAGTTTTGAAAAACCTTGAATTAATTATGCTATTCGGACTCCACCCAATCAATTTGTATCAATATTATTTAGAAAGAATATTCTTTTCTGGAATCTCACAAAAAATGAGTGAAAATTTGGTACGTTAGCGTATAAGTAATGTCAAAACTAATACGCACCAATAATTTAAATTGTGTATCATTCTCGATTTTCAATTTCTTCGAATTGAATTCAAATGGACGTGCGTTGTATAAAATATGTATAACTTTGCATATGAGTACTTGTACACTTGAAGGGTAAAAGGTTTAATAAACGCCCTTACAGAATTTTCAATATTTGTACATGTTTTTCGATATATTAAAGATCCTATCCCAGTTTTGAAAAAAAAAACTGAAAAAGTTATGGTATGAGTAATCGTTCATTTGGTATGTATAGCTCGATGAAGCCCGAATACTTCATCGAACCAAATTCGACCAACACTATTCAGAAAAAATTTGCTTTTCTGGAACCCCACATAAAATGAGTAAAGTAAATTTTGTACGGTAGCGTATAACTAATGTCAACACTAATACGCACCACGAACTAATGTTGTGTGACATTCTCGACCTGCCGATTTAAAGATAACAAAATGAATAGACACAATTTTGTTGTTGTTTTAAAATTGTTATTTTTTTTTAATTAATGAAAAGTTATTCCTTTCGACGTCGGATATAATTTTGATCAAATTCAAAAAATCCATTCATTCGAAAGTGTACATGTCAGGCCCTGGTATGAGCTAATGCTATAAACATCGCACACAAATTAACAAAATCTCAGGCCTATGAAACTTGATTTTTGGAAGATTTCCTATTTTTTATCTGTAAGAAAATAAGGATGATATTGACCGATTACATTTATCCTTAGTACAGAACATCGTTGTTAAATCTTGGAACCGATTGAATTATTAGTTTTTGATTTATTTGAAAAAAAAACATGTGTTTATAGTTTGAGAAACACTATTGCCGTCGCTTGATACTGACAAAATAAGTCTCAAAAGTTGGTAAGATTTTCACCTGCAATTTTAAAGGCACAATTTTGAATTAGTTTCGAATTAAATAGAAAATTCAAATTCATTTTTTTGAAATCGAGAATGGTGGGGGATCCCTATAAAATGTCGAATAATTCTATGCTCTAATGCCAAATAAATATTGTTTTTTTTTTTCAAAATGAATTCGACAGATTCGCGGTAGCGTATGATTAATGTCAATACTAATACGCACTAATCATTAAAATGGGTCAACATTTTTAAGATCATCGTATGTCAGAATAATAAATGATTTGTGTTTAATATTTCGAAATAATCTGTATTAGCGAGGTTCGGATAATCGAGATTTTACTGATGAGATATAATTATAAATAATATAACCATGTACCTTCGTGAAAATATTTTTGTCGAACACTGTAACTCTACAAAGGTTTAGGGAAATGGTTCAAAAATTAGTATTAGCATATTTTACTGAAAATATAGCATATATCTATGAAATATTTATACATAATAATTTTAGGAACCTTTATCTTTACATTAACGCTTACACTATATCAATGGACAAATTAAAAATATATACATTATTATTGTTATTTTTTTCTCTGAGAATTTTTATAATATTTGTGTTTCCTTTTTTTTGAAACTGAAATTATTTTGTCTCGTCTTTTTCAATAACACTTAATATCAAAGGACATAATAATAAAAAAAAACAAAACAAATCGAAAAAAGGAAATCTAAAAAATGTGACTATATAAATTAATTGGCCATATCTTTTTTTTGTTTGTTTATTTTCATCATCATTTATAGCATCGGACACCATAAAAGCCATTGAATGGTCTGAAAATTTGGATCAAATATTTCGTGATAATTATAAAAACGATCCGACGCTGTCGTGGCAATTTTTTGGTAGTTCGACCGGCTTTATGCGTCAATTCCCGGCATCGAAATGGAAAATGGAACCGGTCGATTTGTATGATTGCCGTTTACGGCCATGGTATATGGAAGCGGCGACAAGTCCAAAGGATGTCATCATCCTATTGGACAGTTCAGGCTCTATGATGGGGCAGAGGCTAGATATCGCAAAGCATGTTGTATATACAATACTTGATACATTAGGTACAAATGACTTTGTGAACATCTTCACCTTTAGCGATAAAGTCAAGCCTGTTGTTGGATGTTTCGAGGATACACTCGTTCAAGTATATATCAATTTTCTTTCTTATTTCAATCCTATCTATGAAAAAAATAATTAGTATTATTATGATTTTGTTTTTATTTATTTTTGGTTTATTATAATATTATTTTTTTTTTGATATATTATCTATTTGTATACACACGCGTTTAGTATAACCAAAATTCCCATAGTATATAAGATTATCAAAGAATAACTAACTCATATATTTCCAAAAACAAAACAAAAAAATCATCGTTGTAGTTGAAATGTAATATGATGTGCTATAAAAGTATGGCTATATTTTAATTTTGAACACACATCTTAAAAAAAACAATAACAAAACAAACCAAAATGCTAATAACCGAGTCTTTAGTTCGCCTTACTTTATTTTATATCGTGGTACAATAAGGGGTTTGAAATGCAACATCAAATGGAACTATTCGATTCTAGATTCCAATTTACCTTTCTTGTACCACGATTGATAAAGTTAAAAAAAAAAACTCAAAATATGCTTTTCTGCACTCTAAATTTTAAGTTGTATTTATTGTCCTACCTAAATGTTTGGATCTAGGATGCATATAGAATGCTAGACTGCATTTTATTGCAGGCTAATATATTTCTATTTCAGTACTGAGTCAGACAATACTACCAATTGTATAGCTAGTAAATTTCCTATGACTATTTATGTGACATGGAACACCGTAGCGTATGAGTTATGTCAACACTAATATGCACTATATGCCCACAATAGTCTATCTGTATTTCTTTATAGCATTATACGTTTATTTCAGTGCACACTATTAAGGTATTTCGTTGGAAAGACGAATTATCACAAGAAGCAGTCCATGTTTGGACATATTACTTTTTTCTGACGGAAATTTGGCATTTCGTGTTCTCATTTACCAGAAGATTTCCTGACAAAAATGTTTAATACAGGTTTACAATTTTACATAGCCCTAATATAATATAACGGTTCAAGCTTCGGTCCTTGACCCTTTGAAGACTCTACCAATTGAGTGGGAATTTTGTGTCTAGGGATTCGAGTGCCGGACATTTCTACGGCTCAGTGGCTAGAAAATCTTCTTTTCAAGAAAGATTTTCTTTTTACATTATGATGGGTACACCAAAGTGTCACATTATTTTTGGCATCAGAATGCTGTTGTTAGAAAGTCTAATATGCTGAAATTCTTTGTTCCTATCAAATGTAGTAAAATAAGTGCAACCCACGGTAGCGTATAACTAATGTCAACACCAATACGCACCAATCATTAAAATTGTTATCTAGGTTATAGAATGAATGTTGTTTACAACAAAACTGGAAAAAAATTAATGTATTTTTCAAAATGAAAGCAATTGCATCTTAATTTTTACACATATTAATTAATGACACCATAATGTAAATATGCACATTGATGAACTCGCCATCGTATTGTAGAAAATGTAAATTTCGAATATGAAATAAAAAAGTTTAATTCAACTTTTCATCATGTATATTTTCTAACCCCGATATACAATATTTCATAAAAAACAATTTATATTCGTCCAGTTTAATAACTACAAAAAGATATTGTCGTTGTTCCAATATTTGTCTGAACGAAGTGCGTTTTACGGTAGCGTATGATTAATACACACCAATTATTGAAATTATTGAACTTTTTCAAGTCATCAAAAGCCTGCTGAGCTGATTGAAAATTAATTGTAAATTAATTTAAGTAATAATTAATTTATTCCTCAATCAGTTAATTTTTATTCCCTCTGTCTTATATCTAAAGAGGGTACTCTTCTGAGACCCAACTATAACTGCATCAAAAAATCCCGGTCGATTATAGCGTATCCCTTGTCCGACGTTATAAGCGATTTCGACTGTTTATTTAGTTGAAGACTATTTCACTGTAACGTATGACTAATGTCAACACTAATACGCAGCAAATACTCAAAATAATTGAACCTTTTTTAAGTCATAAAAGGCCTGCTGATCACTCTAAAAGTTAATTGAAAATGTATCTAAGTAATCCAATTCTGATAAACCTATATTTCATAATAAGTTATGCTACATAGGTTTTTTTCTTAGACCAATTTCTGATTGGATAACATTGGCTGCATCGTGGCGTATCGTGGCTATAGTATTGATGGCTATAGAAGAGCATTGGTTTAGTTTATATGTTTGAATGAAGAACGTTTCACGGTAGCGTATGACTAATGTCAACACTAACACGACCCAATTTCTGATTGGATGACGTTGGCTACATAATAGCGTACGACTAATATAATCACTTATAAAAAATATATATGTGTGGCCGATCGTTTTCATGGCTTTTAAAGAATATTGCCTTAGTTCCTATATACATTTGAATAAAATCAGTTTCACAGTAGCGTATGACTATTGTCAACACTTATACGCACCAAATACTCAAAATGATTGTACATAATCTAACTTATCCAACTCAGATAAACCTATATTTCATAATAAGTTATGCTACATAGGTTTTTTTCTTAGACCAATTTCTGATTGGATAACATTGGCTGCATCGTGACGTATCGTGGCTATAACATTGATGGCTATAGAAGAACATTGGTTTAGTTTCTATATATGTTTGAATAAAGCACGTTTCACGGTAGCGTATGACTAATGTCAACACTAACACGACCCAATTTCTGATTGGATGACGTTGGCTACATAATAGCGTATGACTAATATAATCACATATAAAAAAATATATATGTGTGGCCGATCGTTTTCATGGCTTTTAAAGAATACTGTCTTCGTTCCTATATACATTTGAATAAAATCTGTTTCACAGTAGCGTATGACTATTGTCAACACTTATACGCACACACACAACTTATCCAACTCAGATAAACCTATATTTCATAATAAGTTAATTTTTATTCCCTCAGCCTAATAGCTAAATTTTGGCTATAAATTAGCTATTAAATTGTCGTGGCTATAACAACAGTACTAAAAAGTCTGGGGACTTTTTTTGATATCGTCCCTTGATCGTCGTTATAAGCGATTTCGAATGAACATCATTTCACGGTAGCGTATGACTAATGTCAATACTAATACGCAGTCATCAAAGCTTCTTAGACTCTTGGTTGGCTGACGTCCGTTAAATCGTAGTGTATGTCTAATATCAACACTAATACGCTCCAATTTTAAAAAATGGTCAATTTGTGGCCATTTAGTTTACTGATGTCGTCTGAACATTATAATAATCAATATGTAGATCACAGTTATGGACCAATCGTCATGAAACTTAGGGTTATAGTGAAAGAAGAAGCCTAAAGTTTTTGACAGTACTTTCTTAACCCTTTATTGCATGACTTCTTCTTTTTTTTAGCCGAAAAAAGTCAATATGATATATTTCATGCTCAGAATGCAGGAAAAAATATTTAAAAAAATTAGTATACATTTGTATGGTGATACAAAAAACAGCATGGTGATATAAAATTCAATCATATGATATTTTTTTATTTCACTTCAAACTTTTACAGAAATCTATTTAACAGAAATATTTATAAGAAACCGTTTTTATACCTTTTTAAAATATTTCATTACAAGAAAATCATTTAATTTAGATATTTTAAAGACCCACCTCATGGTGTTGGGTGGTAATAGTTCCAACCGATATTTTTACTGGTGTTTTACAAAATCCGTCTTTATTTCTTCAACAAAGTACGATCAAAATCATATCATGGAAATATAAATACTCATACGCACCATGATCGTAAAACAAACACATTGAAGTACTCCTTAGCAAATGCCCATTGTTTTGGCACATCCTCTTTAAAAACAAATATAATATAATAAGAGAAATATTAATTCCCTACATATATATATATGTAAAATGTATGTCTGTATGTATTTGGCTAGCACGCACATGCACCACCAACACAAAAAAACATATGTATATATAACTGCACAATAATCATTTTATTTTCTTTATGTTATTATTGCTAAAAACGGAATAATCGTTTATAGCTTTTGTGAGAGTAAGAGATAAAAAGCTCTCTGTAAAATTAAAAACAAAAAACACTGCACCCAAGTAGATTCGTTCCAAGCACTTTTTTGTGGCTTATTTTGTAATAACTGGATGGATGAATTGAAAGAAACTTGGTAGTTCTATGTGCAATAAATGATACGTCCGGCTCACGGGATATATATATATATATATATATATATTTAAGTATGTGTATGTTGCCAACTATTTTTTTGAAACACTAACACTAAAAACAAGTCTAGTGGCAATTCAATACATGTGCTTTCGCAGCATATTGCTTCCGCCCATATGAATCTCTGTCGGCAAACCATAGATATTGCGCTGCTGTGATGTTTTTCGACAGGATTATATAAAAAACCGCCAAACTCGCAGTCTGATCAGATAGCTAGCTAGGCTGTTGTACATCGATCAATGTTTTTAAGTGTCAAAAAGGATATCAACAGGATAATATGTAAATGGTGACTACGTCAATGGATACATCAACTGAGTAAACCAACACAGAGGTCATGTAAACAAGAAAAACGAAATAAAAATAAATGATTGGAAGAATTTGTATTTCAACTATGACGATGGAATATATGTTAATAATTTGTGTTTTATTTGTTTATTTGTAATTCATTTATTTATTTACATTATTTTACTTGATATTTATAAACATTATTATTATTATTATGTGTTTTAATACCCTCAACATATTGTATGCCGCCTATTTTTAATGTCACTTCTGTTTTTTTCCAACAAATTTCTTTTAATTTTGAAAATCAACAAAATTCTTATGCTCCAATGCCATTTTACGAAATTCTGCTGCATCCCAACAAACAACAACAACAACAAAAAACACATCTTCTTCTACTACTACTTCTTTATAATTTATTTTGCAATTGTATTGTGTTATGGCCTATATACCAACACCAACAAACACACATTGCCACCAAAATACTTTTTTCTCTATATATATGCAATCATATATATACACATAAATGTATACACATACACATGCATACATGAACCCCTCAATACACTTATATCTGTGCGTATACGTATCGTGTATACACTGACGACGTCGAACGCCAAACGTCACGACGTCCCCTAAGGCAAATCTTGGCAACATTCGAGAGCTCAAAGAGGGAATTGAGACAGTTAAAACCGTGTCGATCGCCAACTTCACCGCTGCATTGACAAAAGCCTTTGAGGTTTTGGAACAATTTAGGACCGAAAATCATGGGGCTCAATGCAATCAGGCAATCATGATTGTTAGTGATGGTGCACCGTTTAGCTACGAAGAAATTTTTGAACTATACAATTGGCAAAATTTACCCTATAAACCGGTGCGCGTATTCACCTATCTAATTGGCAAAGAAGTGGCCGACGTTAAGGACATCAAATGGATGGCGTGCGCCAATCAGGGCTACTACGTTCATTTAGCCGATACGGCTGAGGTGCGAGAAATGGTATTGAATTATATACCGGTTATGGCACGGCCATTGGTATTGGGACGACACGATCATCCGGTAATATGGACACAAGTTTATGCCGATGTTGAGGTAAGTTAAAGAAGAGGGGGGAATTATTTGTGTAAAATATTTAAAGGAATGTGTGTGTCGGAATTACTGTGTGGGTAAGTGAATATTTTTGGGTGGCAAAAAACTGTTTTTGATATACTGAAGAAAAATGTTGTATTTTTTTATAGAAGACAATAAGGTTTTTGGTCTGAGAAGGCCTGAAGGTCTTCTACTACATAGAATTCAGAAAGCCTTTTATTATATAGGAGACCTGAAGTCTCTTCAGTACAAAGAAAGCTAGAAGGAATTCTATTATATAGATGACCAAAGGGAGATCAGGCGGAAGACAATCAATTCATATTTTTATAGAAGCCCAGATTAATTACTTCGAACATTAGAAGGTCTTCTATAGAAGGCAAGACATTTTTTAGAACATTTTTTTATTAATTTTATTACACTGTTTTGTTGTCTGAAAATCCGGTTCAAAATTACTTCGAACATTAGAAGGTCTTCTATAGAAGACAAGATATTTTTCTAAAACATGTTTTATAGAATTCCAGAAAAAGTCCTTCATTATTTAGAATATTAGGAGGTATTTTATTACACTGTTTTGTTATCTGGAAATCCGGTTCGAAATTTATATATTCGGATCTGTCTCAAGCATAATAGTATCTATTTGTGGTAAATATGTCCGCTGAATCTGAAAATTATTCATAATTCTATTTTTTAATGTACATAGTAGATATACGTTTTTTTTGAGCAAGGATCGGAACAAAATCGGAAAAGGACGATGAAAATATACGAATATAACTTTCTTGTCTTTAATATCTTCTTATGGGCGACATTTACATAGAATATTTGGAGGCGAAATAATCTCGTCTGGTGGCTTATGAAAATAAGGACAAAAAAGACCCACAAGGACTCGAGATAGAAAGTGGATATATTTTATAAAAATATTCCTCATTCGATTTGACCGAAGACATGTCATCTCAAAAAAAACCTGCAATAGCCTCGAACAAAGTTAAAAACCATGGTAGCGTATGACTAATATCAACACTAATACGCATACATTATAAAAAAGGGTCAATGTATGGCCGTTGAGTTTACCGATCTCGTCTGATGGGCAAGCTGCAGTTATGGACCAATTTTGCATGTAGGTTGGGATCTTCGAATATATTAATATTTGTGGGAGTTGTATAAAATACCTGTCGAGTTATTTTATGTATAGGTGATCTAAACAAGGTCTATAGGAGGATTATATATTTTACAAAATTATTCCTCATTCGATTTGGCCGAAGATATGTCATCTTAAAAAAACCTGCAATATCCTCGAACAAAGATAAAAACCATGGTAGCGTATGACTAATATCAACACTAATACGCATAAATTATAAAAAAGGGTCAATGTATGGCCGTTGAGTATACCGATCTCGTCTGATGTGTAGGCTGCAGTTATGGACCAATTTTGCATGTAGGTTGGGATCTTGGAATATATTAATATTTATGGGAGTTGTATAAAATACCTATCGAGTTATTTTATGTATAGGTGATCTAAACAAGGTCTATAGAAGCTCTTATATATATAACAGATCTTCAGAATGTCTTTTATGTGTATGAGATCTATTTTTAGTATATAAGACCTGTAGATATGATATATAAGACCTGTATATAAGACCTATAGATCTGTAGAAGGTTTTTTATTTATAGGAGACCTATAAAAGGTACTTTATGTATAATAAATCTGCAAAATGTATTCTATGAATGGGAAACCTATAGAAGGCCATCTATGTATAGGAGACCTATAGAAGATCTTTAGAAGGTATATTGAGAAAGGATCTGTAGAATGTCTTCTAAGAATAGAAGACCTATAGAAGGGCTTATATTTATAGAATACCTAAAGCAGACCTATGTACAGGAGATCTATATATAATATAAGAAGACCTAGAAAATACTTTTAACGATATAAAATCATTATAAGGTATTCTGTGAAAAGTATAACTATAGAAGAAGAATAATTCATACCTATAGAAGTCTTCTATGTGTAGGAGACTTATAGGAGGGCATCTATGTATTGGAAACAATCTTCAACGAATTGGAGAACTTTTGAAGGTCTTCTGTTGAAAAAATATGTGAAGGAGTTGTTCTAAATATGTGAGTCCTGAGGATGGGAGACATATTTTCTATGTATAAGAAACTTTTAGGAGGGCATCTATGTATTGGAAAGATATATTCAACGAATTGGAGAACTTTTGAAGGTCTTCTGTTGAAAAAATATGTAAAGGAGCTATTCTAAATATGTGAGTCCTGAGAAAAGAAGACACATAGGATGTACGAAGCCCTTCTGTGTATATGAGACCTATAGAAAATACTAGGTCGCATATCAGGACTTTCATAGGCCTTCTATAAAAACTACGTGTATGAGGTCTTGTATATGTGGGAGATTAACAGGGATCTTCCCAAGTTTTCTTCTAATACCGAAATCTATTATTTTATACGTAAAAACATTATTTTTAAATCTTTCTAATTGTCGGGATATTTTCATATACTAGTATCCTTATATATCCTGCATTTCATTTCCAAATACTTGATCTATTATAGAATACCGAAATGTCCGATTATCTATGGCAAAATGAACAAAATAATGATCAAAAAGAAAATATACTGGAATATAGACGAGTAAGTTTTCGTATGCTGGATCCGGATGAGGTGCGACGACGTGAATATCGTCGAATGAGAAAAGTAAGATAACGTTTTGAACAATTTAACTAATATGATTATATAAAAAAAAACGTTTCCCTTTTCCCTTAGGCGTGGGACCAACCTACTGACACCGATATTTATAAGTTTATGACCACCGTTTCAATGCCAGTCTATGATCGTCGTGAAAATGCCGTAAGTATCTGCATATTTTTGGAAATCTACAAAAACTTGATATTTTTGCGAACAGGAACTATTTTTTTATTATTACATTATTTTGGGAATTGTAAGATTTTTATAATTCCAATATTTTTAAGCTTTTGAGACACGCCAAAACAACAACAATAACACTAAAGCACCGACACTCAAATAAACCACAACCACTAATGACAAAGTAACAGAGATATATACATACATATATTTAATTTTTGTTGTTATTAACATAAACAAACCAACAATTTCAATATAAATATTATTAACTCAGATTTTCTTTTTCAATACTGATGTATAATAAAACCCCAACAACAACAATCACAACAATATTTCTATAACAGAATATCACCGAACTGGTTTTGATAAATGAAGCCCTATGGGAATTACAAACACGTGAGGTATTCAATAGAAATAGAAAACGAAAAAAAAATATGTCAGCTATAATCAAATGACATAATATTTAGAAATCCATAAAAAAATATAATATTTAGCGTAAACCAGTTGTTCTAGAGCTTCCAGTAAAAATCCGAAGAGATATTCGTAAACCAGTATAATCGTAAAACGTAATATTTGGAATATAATCGATATCCAAATAGAAAAACTCTAGAGTAATGAATCAGAACAGAAGAGTATTCCATTTTTATTAGACATTTTGGAAAATAACAAAACAAAAACAAAACAAATTCATATAGAAGTATTGAGTCGATCATAAATCTATTTATATCAATATTATAATATAGTGAAAAATGTATTTAGTCCATATATATTAACCATAGTTTTCAGGGTATATATCTGTGTATTTATTTTGTTTTAGTATAGCTAGTGGTAAAAATTTAAGAAGTTCCCAAGTGTAAACCATTTGTAAGTGAATGGTCTATAAATTTAGTATTGTAGTATTTTGATATTATTATTGAAATATTGAAATAAAAATAATGTGTGGTTCATAATGTTACATTTTTTGTAGTTTCAAATTTGAATTCTACGCCCAAAATAAATACATTAAATTCAAATATCGTCAATGAAGACTACTGAAGGTCATATATGTATAAATGAACTATAGAGAGGATTCCTAGAAGGTCTTCTATGTATAGAAGACCTATATAGAAGGCATTCTATGTATAGAAGACCTATAGAAGGTCTTCTATGTAAAAAAGACCTATAGAACGTCTCCTATGTATGGAACACCTGTAGAAGGTCTTCCATTTATAGAAGACCTATACCTCACCTGCAGGTCTTTTTGCATAAATATAGGAGACACAAAGAGCAGTAAAATGCCGAGTGAATTTGGAGTTCCACAAGGATCCAAATTGGGCCCAATATTATATATCCTATACGCAAATGAAATGATATTACAACTGAAATACAGCACAGCATACACATACGCCGACGACACAGCAATAATCATCAGCAATAAGTCATTAAATGATGCTGTATGTTCCCTTCAATATGACTTAAATAAAGTGACGAGATGGTGTCATGATAGCGGTCTAATCATAAATGCTAAAAAAACTAAAGTCATGCATATTAGACCGAGAAGCGTACCTAAAACTACCTTTAGAATAACATTTCACAATACGGAATTACATAAAAAAGATATAGTGTTCAATCAATCGCAGAACGACAACTGCGACTCTCATCTAGAAATAGTTGAAACTTATAAATATCTAGGCGTTCATCTAGATGATAATTTTAAATGGAAGTCTCATATTCACCATGTTCAAACAAAATTGAGGCAATCATCATACGCTCTATACCACCTTGGAAATTGCGCACCTTATTATGTTATTAAACAATCATATTTTTCGTTAGTGGAATCTCATCTCAGACATGGGATTACTGCCTGGGGAAATGCAAAAATATGCAGTGTTCTGCAATCTGCACAGAACAAAATTGTCAAATCATTAAGCAAAAAACAACCAGCCAGCACACAACACAGAACTAATAACAACAGGCCAACCACACAACTGTACGCAACTCAAAAAATTCTTAATATAAAGGATTTATATTCGATTTCAATCATAAAAGAATTCATGGAAGACGCAAACTTAGCGAAGAAACTAAACCATGAACGAAACACTAGACGCAGAATTGAAGGCCGATATATAGTCCCAGCATTTAAAAATGACTATGGAAAACATGCACTATCTGTTAGTCTGCCTACCATCTTAAATGAACTACCAAATGCGATAATGCAGGAATGCAACAAAAAAATTAGAATAAAATTACTCAAAAATCATTATTTAAATAAGTAATTAATAATTATAAGCAATAAAATAATAATATTTGAAGTCTACAGCTAATTTTAGTCAATCAATGAAAATTGTAATCACTTCTTACTCCACATACAAGCCTATAATAGCTTCGTGGAACTATGTAAATAATGAACTGTAATAATTATTATATTATCAATAAAGAAAAAAAAAGAAGGTCTTCTATTTATAGAAGACCTATAGAAGGTCTTCTATTTATAGAAGACCTATAGAAGGTCTTCTATGTATAGAAGACCCTTAGAAGGTCTTCTATGTATAGAAGACCCTTAGAAGGTCTTCTATGTATAGAAGACCTATAGAAGGTCTTCTATGTATAGAAGACCTATAGAAGGTCTTCTATGTATAGAAGACCTATAGAAGGTCTTCTATGTATAGAAGACCTATAGAAGGTCTTCTATGTATAGAAGACCTATAGAAGGTCTTCTATGTAGAGAAGACCTATAGAAGGTCTTCTATGTATAGAATATTTATAGAAGGTCTCCTATGTTTAGAAGACCTATAAAAGGTCTTCTATGTATAGAAGACCTATAAAAGGTCTTCTATGTATAGAAGACCCTCAGAAGGTCTTCTATGTATAGAAGACCATCAGAAGGTATTCTATGTATAGAAGACCCTCAGAAGGTCTTCTATGTATAGAAGACCATCAGAAGGTATTCTATGTATAGAAGACCTATAGAAGGTATTCTATGTATAGAAGACCTATAGAAGGTCTTATATGTATAGAAGACCTATAGAAGTTATTCTATGTATAAGGGTCTTGTATGTATAGAAGACATATAGAAGGTATTCTATGTATAGAACACCTATAGAAGGTCTTCTATGTATAGAAGACCTATAGAAGGTCTTCTATGTATAGAAGACCTATAGAAGGTCCTCTATGTATAGAAGACCTATAGAAGGTCCTCTATGTATAGAAGACCTATAGAAAGTCTTCTAGGTAAAGAAGACCTATAGAAGGTCTCCTATGTATAGAAGACCTATAGAAGGTCCTCTATGTATAGAAGACCTATAGAAAGTCTTCTATGTATAGAACACCTATAGAAGGTTTCCTATGTATAGAAGACCTATAGAAGGTATTCTATGTATAGAAGACCTATAGAAGGTCTTCTATGTATAGAAGACCTATAGAAGATCTTCTATGTATAGAAGACCTATAGAAGATCTTCTATGTATAGAAGACCTATAGAAGGTCTTCTATGTAAAGAAGACCTATAGAAGGTCTTCTATGTAAAGAAGACCTATAGAAGGTCTTCTATGTATAGAAGACCTAAAGAAGGTATTCTATGTATAAAGGTCTTGTATGTATAGAAGACATATAGAAGGTATTCTATGTATAGAACACCTATAGAAGGTCTTCTATGTATAGAAGACCTATAGAAGGTCTTCTATGTATAGAAGACCTATAGAAGTTATTCTATGTATAAGGGTCTTCTATGTAAAGAAGACCTATAGAAGGTCTTCTATGTAAAGAAGACCTATAGAAGGTCTTCTATGTATAGAAGACCTAAATAAGGTATTCTATGTATAAAGGTTTTGTATGTATAGAAGACATATAGAAGGTATTCTATGTATAGAACACCTATAGAAGGTCTTCTATGTATAGAAGACCTATAGAAGGTCTTCTATGTATAGAAGACCTATAGAAGTTATTCTATGTATAAGGGTCTTGTATGTATAGAAGACATATAGAAGGTATTCTATGTATAGAACACCTATAGAAGGTCTTCTATGTATAGAAGACCTATAGAAGGTCCTCTATGTATAGAAGACCTATAGAAAGTCTTCTAGGTAAAGAAGACCTATAGAAGGTCTCCTATGTATAGAAGACCTATCGAAGGCCTTTTATAGGTCTTCTATAAAGGTCTTCTATACATAGAAGACCTTCGATATATAGAAGACCTATAGAAGGTCCTCTATGTATAGAAGACCTATAGAAAGTCTTCTATGTATAGAACACCTATAGAAGGTCTTCTATGTATAGAAGACCTATAGAAGGTCCTCTATGTATAGAAGACCTATAGAAAGTCTTCTAGGTAAAGAAGACCTATAGAAGGTTTCCTATGTATAGAAGACCTATAGGAGGTCTTCTGTGTATAGAAGACCTATAGAAGGTCTTCTATGTATAGAAGACCTATAGAAGGTCTTCTATGTATAGAAGACCTATAGAACGTCTTCTATGTATAGAAGACCTATAGAACGTCTTCTATGTATAGAAGACCTATAGAAGGTCTTCTACGTAAAGAAGAACTATAGAAGGTCTTCTATGTAAAGAAGACCTATAGAAGGTCTTCTATGTAAAGAAGACCTATAGAAGGTCTTCTAAATATAGAAGAACTATAGCAGGTCTTTATGTATAGAAGACCTAAAGAAGGTCTTCTATGTATAGAAGACCTAAAGTAGGTCTTCTATGTATACAGGTCTTGTATGTATAGAAGACATATAGAAGGTATTCTATGTATAGAACACCTATAGAAGGTCTTCTATGTATAGAAGACCTATAGAAGGTCCTCTGTGTATAGACGACCTATAGAAAGTCTTCTAGGTAAAGAAGACCTATAGAAGGTCTCCTATGTATAGAAGACCTATAGAAGGTCTTCTATGTATAGAAGACCTATGGAAGATCTTCTATGTATAGAAAATCTATAGAAGGTATTCTATGTATAGAAGATCTATAGAAGGTCTTCTATGTATAGAAGACTTATAGAAGGTCTTCTATGTATAGAAGACCAATAGAAGGTCTTCTATGTATAGAAGGCCTATAGAAGGTCTTTTATGTATAGAAGACCTATAGAAGGTCTTCTATGTATAGAAGACCTATAGAAGGTCTTCTATGTATAGAAGACCTATAGAAGGTCTTTATAGAGGACATAGAAGGTCTTCTATGTATAGAAGACCTATAGAAGGTCTTCTTTGTATAGAAGACCTATAGAAGGTCTTCTATGTATAGAAGACCTATAGAAGGCCATCTATGTATAGAAGACCTATCGAAGGCCTTTTATAGGTCTTCTATAAAGGTCTTCTATACATAGAAGACCTTCGATATATAGAAGAACTATAGAAGGTCTTCTATGCATAGAAGGTATTCTATGTATAGAATACCTATAAAAAGTCTTCTATGTATAGAAGACACATATAATAGTGTTATATGTATAGAAATTTATCTAGAAGACCTCTTGAAGACTTATAGAAGGTCTTCTATGTATTGAAAACCTTCAGAAAATCTTGTATGTTTAGACAACATACATAAGGTCTTCTATTGGTAGGAGCAGGGGGATCAAATAATCAATTGTTTATTAATTCATCAATAACTATATTGTCCTTTCGAAATAATCCACTTCAGATTTAATACAGCGCTTTTCCAACAAATCTGAAAGGTCCTTTTTTTGTATAAGCAACATCACCAGTTTTAAATTTTAAACCTTTCGAAATAATAAAAGCACTGTGAAATAAAATTTTGGTGGCGGGATATTTTGATGAAGTACCTTGGGAGTTTATTAAAACCACGAAGAACAAAATGGAGATGCCTTACATTCCCCACTAATAAATAGTTGTTTTTTTATAAAGACCACAAACTGGGATCCAGCCTGACTATTTTGCGAAAACAAAATATAAATGGTATCCCAAATAACCCGCCAACACTACTGATGAAAAATATATTCTTCATCCATCTCCAATTTGTTCTTCGTGGTTTTAATAAACTCCCAAGGTACTTCATCCCCATAACGAAAATATCCCGCCACCAAAATATTATTTCACAGTGGTTTTATTATTTTCAGACTGACTGACTATCAGATTCAGACTGACTATTTTGCAAAAACAGAATATATTTTACGAAAAGAGAATATATCTCAAAAAAACTGTATTAGCTGCTAACAATGATATAACGTTTTTTCTTCATGAACTTACCAGCTAAAAATTCATCACGTCATAACTCAAAAACGAATTTGTCCTATTGAGTTTGTGTTTTATCCCTATAAGGAATCAACCTCATAACTCAAAAACTTGACCTATGGCGAATTTGTCCTACTGAGTTTGTGTTTCATCCCTATAAGGAATCAACCTTCAGATTTTGTGTCACCGTGTAATTTAACGTGTTGTCACTGGAATATTGTCAAAAAATGGTATCACTATTTAACATTGAATTATCAAATGTCTGTAGATACCCATTTATTTATAGAATACCTTCGATAGGTCATCGATTGTCAAATTTTGGTGCAGAGTGTCAAAAATGTTAATTTTATTTGCTTCAAAATTCATAATATATTCATATGTATGTCACGACATAACGTAGTTCCTATATATGTAAATGTGAATCCTTTTTATTGTAAACAGTGTATTGAAATAACTCCGGATTATGGCTTGAAGCATAAACCCGAAGAAGTTGTGTGGCCCAACTGTAATACTGTAAGAATTCAAGCAAATCTAAATATTCTATCTAAATAAAAACAGAAAAACAATGATGGAGGAAAATTCAGCAACGCAAATTAAGAAAAGCTTGCTTGTCAAATAAGAAATGCCGCTTTAAATGCCATTAATAAAATAAAAATGTTTATCGGTGTCTTTTTTTCAAACAATATTCTAAATGTTTTTTCAGTGTAGCTATAGTTTTGATCATATTTAAAAAAAAATGCAAAAAAATATATATATTTTTTTGTATGATAGATGGTACATAAATATTAAAACATACAATTTGTTGTTAACATAAATTCAATTTTTTTTAGTTTATTTTACTCATGTATTATAATTATATAGACCACATAATACAAATAACACATATCAAGCTAATTTTCATTAACAAATTAAAACAATAGTTACAGTTGCTTTATTTCCATATATTATTAATTATATTTTACAATATTATGGTAAACCGTATTATTTTTTTATTATTTTCGAAACCTGGTAAGAATATTCGTTATTAAAAAATATATGTAGGCACTAAGCATTATATACTCTACTAGTAATTATTATATTAATATTTATATATAGATTAAAGATTGGAGTATTTAGAGTAATTTGAAAAAATTTTAAATTTTCAAGATTGCTTACCAGGTTTAGCTTTAATTTTTGTTGTATTTAATATTTTATGTATTCACAATTTTTAGAGCTTGTATTATATTTATGTCGTTATAAGATTTTCATTTAACTAAAATATTTAATATGTTGTTTGCTTTTGTAATTAATCATTTAAAAAATATATATTTATTTAATTCAATTGGTTTTAGTATATCAACAAAATTACATTACTTAAATATACTGTTGTGAATTTTATTAAAATTAATTTTGTTTATATTTGTATAGACGAAAGTTGCCAATTTACTGGGTGTTGCCGGTACAGATGTGCCAATACGGGATATCAAACGTTTGCTGTCACCATTTTTGGTAAGTAAATATGTTATGAATTTTATTTGATGGGCGGTAATAAATAGTCGAATAATGTGACGATATTAATGAAATGGTAATGAAAATAATTAATACTAAACATTATAGGATTGGTAGCTATGGATGTATACAATTTCGGCTGGAACGAACCTTTTATAATGTCCACCATTCAAAATAACTAAAAATTATCAGCACATTTATATGGGAGCTATGCAATTGGCGACCGATATAAACCGATATATAATCAGTATAGGATACTGATTATTGACATTTTTGGTAGAAAGAGATTCGAGTCTATGACAATCCAGAAAGAGGACCGATTGACCAATACCTAATACCTAATGATTACAATTATATACCATAAAATTTTGTTTAATATTCGGTATTCGGTATTTTTAATGCATTAGCCGAATTTTCAATTTGAAATTCAGAAAGGGGCTGTAGGGGCACTGGTACAAATTTTGACATATCCTCCATATATCGATTCATGATTGGTATTTGGGTTTAGAAGCCTTTCCCATCTGAGGGGCTGTAATTTGGCATTCAGGGTTTTTATACCCTTCACCACACTGTGGTACAGGGTATTATGTCTTTGTGCATATGTTTGTAACAGGCAAAAGGAATCGAGATAGACCCATAGTTACTTTTGAGAATATGCATAGAATCACTTTCTAAGTCGATTTACGCATGTCCGTCTGTCCGTCCGTCCGTCCATTGATTTTTGTGAACAAAGTACAGGTCGCATTTATGATCCGATTTGGATGAAATTTGGCACAGTTCACTTATTTGGCCCAGGGACGAACCCTATTGAAATTGAGAAAAATCGGTTCAGATTTAGATATAGCTCCCATATATATTTTCGTCCGATTTAAGGTAAATGGTGCACCAAAGTCCCTATATATCGTTCGATTTGCACGAAATTTGGCACAGCGTAATGTATTAAGCCTAGAATAATGTCTGCCAAGTTTCGTAAAAATCGGTCCAGATTTAGATATAGCTCCCATATATAGTTTCGTATGTAAATGGTGCACCAAAGTCCCTATATATTGTTCGATTTGCACGAAATTTGGCACAGCGTAATGAATTAAGCCTAGAATGATGTCTGCCAAGTTTCCTGAAAATCGGTCCAGATTTAGATATAGTTCCCATATATATTTTCGTCCGATTTTATGTAATTTTGGACCAAAGTCCCTATATATCTTTCGATTTGCAAGAAATTTGGCAAAACGTACTTAATTGAGCTTAGAGTGATGTCTGCCAAGTTTCGTGAAAATCGGTCCAGATTTAGATATAGCTCCCATATATAGTTTCGTCCGATTTTATGTAAGTGATGCACCAAAGTCCCTATATATATTTCGATTTGCACGAAATTTGGCATAACGTACTTAATAGAGCCTAGAGTGCTTTATGCCAAGTTTCCTGGAATGATGTGTTTCCTGGATTTCGTGAAAATCAGATTAAGATATGTATATATATATATATATTTCCGTCAGATTTAATGTAAATAATGTACCATAGTTCTAATATTGCATAGATCGATTGATATTAAGTAATTGACACACCATGGAAACAATATATGATTGAAAGAACAAAACGTACTGAAATTAGTATAACCCAACCTGTGAAAAGTTTCGTTGAAATCGGTTCAAATTTGGATATAGATTCCACATATATTTTCATCTATGGTAATTGGTGCTTTTAAGACCCTATATATCTTTGCACGAAATTTGGCATAACGTGCTGAATTGCGTCTATAATAATGTGTGCCAAGTTTCATGAAAATCGGTTCAGAAGTATATAAAGCTCCCATATATATATATATATATAGTCGCCCGATTTTAGGTAAATGGTGCACCAAAGTCTTTGAAAATCATTCCATTTGCACGAAATTTGTCATAGCGTACTGAATTAAGTTTAGAATGACGTGAGCTAAATTTCGTGAAAATCGGTTCAGATTTAAATGTAGCTCCCATATATATTTTCGTCCGGTTTTATGTAATTGGTGCATAGATAGGATACATCTTAGGATACATCTGTTGAATATACCCAAAGTGGTGAAGGGTATCATATAGTCAGCCCAGTCCGACTTTACTACTTTCCTTACTGCTTTTTTCAGGGGTTTGAAGGCAAATAAATTACTCCGAAGAAACATTTAAAATTTTTTATATCAGGCACCCGACCGATTTTCCCGGTAATATAAATGTCCAACTCATGGTGGCAGATATAAAAACAAAATCTTTTAAAAGGTGTTAACAGATGTTTGAATTTTGTAAGTATTTTGGCTATCTCATAGTGAAGGACATCAAGAGTTCCGTAAAAGTTACTCTAAAAACAGTAAGGAAAGTAGTAAAATCGGACTGGGCCGACTATATGATACCCTTCACCACTTTGGGTATATTCTACATATGTATACGAAAAGACGTCGCCTTTTTGAAGGAATTTTGACATGAAATTGAACGAACTTAAATATGTTATTTTTATGTCTTTCTGGAACCTATGTTAAATTTTATTTCATGTGGGCAAGTTTAGAGTCGTTTGCGCACAGTGGGACAGATTTGTATAAATCGAAATTATATATGGAAGCTACGATATATCTATATCTGAACCGATTTGAAGCAAACTTGCCATAGATTAATTTATATTAATTTCAGTACGTTGTGTCAATTGGCCTAGCTGTGGAATTTCACAGCACAGTTTACTTAAAATCGGACGAAAAAATATATAAGAGGTGTACATATCATTCTAGACTTAATTCAATAGGCTATGTCAAAATTCGTACAAATCGAATGATTTTCAGGGGCTTTGGTGCACCATTTACCTAAAATCGGGCGAAAATATATATGGGAGCTATTTGTAAATCTAAACCGATTTTCACGAAACTTAGCACACATCATTCTAGAACTAATTCAATACCAAATTTCGTACAAATCGAAAGATATATACGGACTTTGGTAGACCATTTACCTAAAATCGGTCGAAACTATATATGGGAGCTATATCTAAATCTGAACAGATTTTCACGAAACTTAGCACACATCATTCTAGACCTAATCCAGTAGGCTATATCAAATTTCGTGCAAATCAAATGATTTTCAGGGACTTTGGTACCCCATTTACATTAAATCGGACGAAACTATTTATGGCAGCTATATCTAAATCTGAACCGATTTTCAGGAAACTTAGCACACATCATTCTAGACTTAATTCAGTACGCTATACCAAATTTCGTGCAAATCGAAAGATATATAGGGACGTTGGTGCACCATTTACCTTATATCGGGCGAAACTATATGTGGGAGCTATATCGTAATCTGAACCGATTTTCTCTAATTTCAATAGGGTTCGTCCTTGGGCCAAATAAGTGACATGTGACAAAATTCATCCAAATCGGATCATAAATGCGACCTGTACTTTGTTCACAAAAATACATGGACAGCCGGACTGACGGACATGCCTAAAACGACTCAGAAAGTGATTTTATGCATATTCTCAAAAGGAACCATGGGTCTACCTCGATTATTTTTGCCTGTTACAAACATATGCACAAAGACATAATACCCTGTACCACAGTGTGGTGGAGGGTATAAAAAGTAAAAAAGTGTCAGTCGGTGTTGCCGACAGATATATACCCACAGCCAATGGTTTGCGGATATCTACGCAATTAAAGAGGAAACAAGGAGGTTCAAGATTTTATCAATTTATCAATGATCAAATGGGTTATTAAATATTTATTTAATTATCCTGGTACGTCCCATAACCAGAAGGAGTGGACAAGTTAGCCCCATATTCGGGTTCGATAATAGGTAGGGTAAAATTTGGTTCAAATCGCCTGATATTGCATTATTAAATATTGAAAATTTTGATCACTTGTGGGGAAGTTACTAGAACTAATGTATTCCATCTTCTTTTTTTATCTGGGCTTGGTAAAGATAATAGGTTGTGCAAAATTTGGTTCAAATCGGATATACCATTCGCCTAATATTCGTTCTGTAAAAATTTAAAATTTTGACCATTTGTGGGGTAGGTAACAGGAGGAGTAAGACCAGTGGGTCGCATCTTCGGACTTGATCTAGGCTTGGTAAATATAATTGGTCGTACAAAGTTTGGTTTAAATTGGGTAGTCCGTTCACATGATATTAAAAAATTAATTTTCAGCCGAATTTTGTGTGGGAGGTACGAGAAGGAACGGACTGATATTTCCCATATTCGAACTTGAACTAAGTTGGGAAGAAATATTACGAAAACTATGGATGATATCGATTACACCATTCGAGAGTTTTCGTGCCCACCAGCCGGCCAGATAGATGGACATTTGTAAATCGACTTCAATTTGTCTGAAAGGGATTTGGTTCAAAGAATTTGGGGTCTAAAAACAGTATTTCGATGAGGCACATTTTTGCCGTATCAAAGTGTATATACCAATGAGGCTGATGGTGTAATAATATATATATAGACTACATTTTATATAGAGTTTTTTATAGAAGTTATATTTTTTAAGAAACAACTTTTGTCGACCCTTTTTACATAGATAGAAGCTAAACTATCTTCTAATAATCTTTCACATGTATTATACTTTTTGTGGCACTTCCATACACAGCCGAATATTTTGTGGACTTCTCTATATACAAATTATTTTATGGATGTTCCTCCGGTTCTACTATATTGTTAAACTTATATATATTATATATTTGACCTTTAAATAAAAGTCGTATTAAATACTTTCTGCCACATATATAAGGTGCACAAAAGAAGACTAAAATGACTTCGTAAAGAATACTGAAAGGATTTCTTATAATACATCAAAAGGTATTTCTATATCAGATCAAAAGGTCCACACCAGAAGATCTTCAGATCGTAATTTTACAGAATACCATAGGAGACCAAAGGGACCTCTTATAAAATTCTATTAGGGCTTATTAAAAAAAAGCAGAAGGTCAGATCGTAATTTAAAAGAATACCATAGGATACCAAATGGACCTCTTATAGAATTCTATTAGGGCTTATTAAAAATAGCTGAAGAGCAAAAATACTAAACAGTATTCTATAAGAAGACTAAAATGATCAATAAATCCTATTATATAAGATCAAGTGGTATTTTTATTGGGCCCGAAGGTTTTTTTTTATGAGCTGCTAAAAGATTTTCTTATAATTCAATAGAATACCTGAAGTTGCTCTAGACCAGACCAAAGGTTCCTCTAAAAGGTATTTTATAGGCAACATGTAATTTTTTGTATATGGAATATCTTCATTGAGTCTTCTTTATAACGAAAATCTTCCATGGACTTGGATCGCCGGATCTTACTCATTTATAAGCCATTTTCTGAACGGTGTTCTGTGGAACCTAATTATATACAAGACCTTCAGGGAACTCTTTTTATGGTTGATCTTCTGTGGGTTCTCTAAAGAAAGCACATTGTCTGAAGAAAAATAAAATGTCATGTGGCCCTTATTCATATGAAGTTAAAAATTCTCTGATATTCATATATAGAATTCCCCATATCATCACATATATGGTACCCAGTTAATTAGCATTCCATGTCTTATGGTTTTCGATGTTAAATATATTCTCAGTGCCTCTCATATTGAGAACATCGTTCTGACCTCAACAAGAATGGAAACGTGTTTTTTACATTTTATATAAAATATGATTCTGTTTCCCTAAGTACCTGTTAGGTCGATCCAATATAGTGTTTTTAAACCTAACTCTCCCATATTTTTTCCAATACAGCTTGGAGTAAACGGGTATGCCTTCATTGTCACCAACAATGGCTATATATTGTTCCATCCAGATTTTCGTCCAATTGTAAGTATAAGCAAGTAAATAGCCCTATTAAATAGCTATCTAAAAATATATATATATATTTTTGTTCTAAAAATAGTTTCAAGGTTATATACTAAAACCGGCCTATAATAGTGTCGATATGATTGAAGTTGAATTATTGGATGATGATCGACCTCCCAGAGATTTTAATCCAGTGCTACTGACGGTAAGAAAAACAAAAACACAAAATGTTATATATCGTATATATAAATTTATTATCAAATTTTATGGTAATTGCAGATACGTGATTCGATTATAAATCAATCAACCGGTAGCAAATGGATGTTGGTTAAAAATCATTTCGATGAAATGGTAAATAACGTTATTTCATTTTTTTGTTAAAAATATTTCATTATTAATTCTATTTCGCATTACAGAAAAGGGTGGCTCGGGTTAAGCGCCAATATTATTGGACAGCTATTAAAAATACACCCTTCACCTTGGTGATAACATATCCCGAGCTATACGGTGTTAATCGTCTTCAGATCCGCACCGAAGATGAAATACATCGTATGAACATTAAGGGCAGTAACACGCTGAGCTTTTTCAATGGCAAACGTTGGAAAATCCATCCCAAATGGTAGGATATGGGTTTTTTCTATAAAAAATAATAGAAAAAAAATGAGATATTATAATATTTTGTTGTTGTTTTTTTTTCTAGGCTATATTGCAAACACAGCAACATGACATTCGATTCACCCGAAGAAGAACTTTTATGGTTTTTGGGTAAAATGTCACAGCCAGGATGGAAATGGCCATCAAGCCGCAGTTCACTGCCTCCCGAGCATACAGCAGCCATGTTTTGTAAGTATTACTTTTTTATTTAGAAATAATTATAAATAAATTTAAAATATTTTTAAGAGATGTCAAAAAAAAAAAATCTATGAAAATTCTCTACAAATTGTAGTGGAAGATCTACCCCTCTTCTTTGAGAATGTCAAAATGAAGATTTTCTTTAAACAAACAAATCTGATCGTAGAAAATAAAAGGACTTTCCGTAGAAAAAAGAATATTTTTTAATTGAAGACTAAATATACTCCGTAAAGAAGACTGAAAGGATTTCCTATAGTAGACCAGTTTAGACCGGAATACCCTCATGTAGGAACAGGATTTTTAATGCCATCAGATGGTAATTTTACAGAGAATCAAAAGGAATTTTCATAGCAGACCAAATGGTCCTCCTATAGAATTCCAAGAAAGACCAAGATATCTTACGGAAAAGCAAAGCCTCTTCTACAAAACAAAATAGAAGACGCAAATGATCAATAGGTATTGTTATATGAGACCGTATTGTTTTCTCTGTCCCACCAGAAGGTCTATCTATAAGCGGCCAAAAGAATTTCTTATGATCGGTCTGATGGTATTCTAATAGAAGGCCAGATGTTTCTCTTATAGAAGACCAGAAGGCCAGCTTATAAAAAACCTCTAGGTCTGCTATATTAGATAGGTAGGTTTTCCTTCAGAATATCAGAAGGTTTTTCGGATAGAAGAAATATTTTTATAGAAGACCAGAAAATCTTCCGATTGAAGATCATAAGGTCTGACTAAAGAATAAGGTTTTCTAATAGAGTAACAGAAGTTCTTCAAATATTGAACTAGAAGGTTTTTCAATAGTAAACCAGCAGGAGTTCTAAAATAAGATCAAAATGTCTTCTTACAGAAGAAAAGAGAGTCTGCTTATAGAAGATCAGACCAGAAGTGCTCAGAACGATAGACCATAAGATCTACTTCTGGTATAAGGTCTAGTAGACCAGAAGGTTTTCTTGAAGCAGCCCAGCTGTAGTTCTACAATAAAAAAGACTAAAATTGACATTAGGTCGGCTTGTATAAAATCGGAAGGTATTCTTATGGAAGACCAAAAGGTTGTTTTTATGGAAGATTAAAAAAATTCAGACTAGATGGCCTACTTATATACCACCAAAAGGGTTTCCTATAAGCGGTCATAAAAAATTCGTATAACCCTTAAAAAGGTATTCCAATAGAAGACCAGAAGTTGCTCTAGACCAGAACATAATTTCTTCTAGAAGACCAGAAGGTCAGCTAATAAAATACGTGTAGGTCTTACTATATTCTATAGGTAGGACTTCCATCAAAAGACCTGAAGATTTTCCCATAAAAGAACTTATTTTAATAGAATACCAATGTATATTTTATAAAAGGCCCAGAAGACCCTCCGATGTAAGACCAGAAGGTCTTATTATAGAACACCAAAAGGACTAGAAGCTTTTTTATAGAAACCTGGTGGTATTCAAAAATAAAATCAAAAGGTCTTCCTTCAGAAGGCCAAAATGTTTTTTCGCATAGAATACATGTTTTATAGAAGACCTGGGAAAGTTTTATAAGAGAAGAAACCCCGATTGAAGACCAGAAGACCAAAAGAATTTCTAATAAAAGAACAAATATTGGAAGATTTTCCTATAGGTTTTAAGGTCATAATATAAGTGGCCTGAATAAATTCTTACAATCGGTCAGAATGCATTTCAATAGAAGACCAGATGTTCCTCTAGACCAGAATTTCTTCTAGACGACCAGAAAGCCAGCTTATAGAATACGTGTAGGTCTTACTATATTAGAAAACCTGAAGGTTTTCCCATAAAAGGCATTTTTTAATAGAACATCAATGGGAGTTTTATAAGAATCCCAGAAGATCTTCCGATTAAAGACCAGAAGGTCTTGACTAGAAGGATGACCTATAGTCGACGTGATAGAATTGTAAAAGGAAACCAAAAGGTCTTTTTACAAAAGACAAGAAGGCCTTCCCATAAAAGACTGGACCGGAAGGTCTTTCTATTGTAGACCAGAAGGCCTTCAACCAGCTGGAGTTGTAAAAGAAAACCAGAAGTTTTTCTTATTGAAGCCAAGAATCGGATGTCCTTAGAAGACCGGAAGGTATATCTATAGAAGAGTTCAAAAGGTCTTTCTAGATGGAGAGGATTTTCTATATAAAATTAAAAAATCTTCTTTTCGAAGTTTAGCTGGAGTTTTATAAGAAGGCATTCCTATTGAATACCATAAGATCTACATATATAACGCCAGAAGTTCATCTTCCAGGAAATCACTTGTTGTTCTACAAACAAACCAGATAGTCTTCCTATAAAAGGAGAAGAAGAACTTCTAATGGGCGTATTTAATTTGGAGATTTTTTATACATAGAAAACAGCCTAGGGGGATGTGTGATTTACTTCTGTAAATATATAACAATCCAGAGTTATTTTTCAAGGATCATCGCATAGGACTACTATATAACACCTCTATTACAATTCATATTTTCTTGCAAAAATTTTAAATTCCGTTTAAAATTTCAGAATGCCTCAAATATGTAGGCGAAGTCTATTTGTTTATCTATTGTTGGACATTGTTGCAGAGAATTTCATAGATTTTTTTTGGAAAAAGTCGCTGCAATTTTTTTTTTTTTTGAAAAATATCTTACAAAAAGTTCTAGTTTTATATCGTCATATTCTGTATATTCTTCATCGATAGTTATCATAACCAGATTTCTACAATAACAATTTTCTATGACTTTTAAATAAAAAAAAAAAAAACAAAACATTTACACCTGTACAAACATAACACACATCATTTTACACTGTGTAACAAATTGTGGTTACGTTAAGAATTCATACTATTGCCGTCGATATAAATGATGGCCGATATTGAAATTATATCCTTTCAAGGTTCGTTTTTAGATTTCCAAATTTGGAGATAAAACAAATCACGTAAAAAATGTAGAGGTTAACAACAAAAACAAATTTTAGAAGTTATCATTAAAAAAAGTTACATAGTGTAACCTATAGACTTTTCTAAACATCAAATGCATTCATAAAACAACACACACATCTATTTCAAATGATAAACGTATTCTGTCTTAAGGGGGGAGGGGAGACGTGTTTTTTTTCGAAAATTTAATATACCTAAAAAAATCCGTCGTCATCCCTCCATTAATGTGTTTTCATATTAGTTATTACCTAACTTAAAATCATTATGTTATCATTCATTAAACAAATAAACTACATCTACAACAACAACAAAACCGACCTGCAAATCCACAGCTAACACATCAACTGGACGCATTCCACCACTCGAAAATTACTATTGTGAGTAATAATAAAGTCATTTGTCTTAGTTGTCAAATTCGGAAATGAAATCATTTTTCTGCATATTTATATTTCATAATCGATTTCGTGTTTACTGCACCTGTAATAAAAAATAAAAAAAATCACAATACGAGCAATATTAATAATAGAAATATTAATAAAAGCAACAACAACATTTTGTTCACAATGCAATTACATAAATATGTATTATATACAATACAATAGACATAAAATATATTTATTTATATTTAATCATTTAATTATTTTGTTTCTTTTTTTTATTAATTAATATAATAATTGCACATCCAATATTGTCACAATACAATAATACTAACAGTACCATCCAAGGTCCCAATACTTTTTTTATTCGACACTGACCCCTTTCAATTTTGAATCAATACCCATAAATCAATGCACAAATCCAATGGATAGTTTTAAATATTTCAGTTAATAATGATATGTGTGTTGGGAAATTATCAAAGGATATGGAAGCGACCCTTGAGAACCACAAAAGTATCAGAACCAAGGGAAATCCCATGTATAAAATAAATATATTAAGGACTTTTGTTAACGGAAAACTCATGAAAGGATTTTTAACCAGTAAGGAAAGTAGTAAAGTAGGCCGGGGCCGACTTTATGATACCCTTCACCACTATGGGTATATTCAACAGGACTAATGGATGAAATAAAATATGTGATATTTATCTAAATGTGAAACGACCTAAATCTATCCACAAACATGTCATTCGTTCGTTACAATGGGACAAAAGTATGTAAATCGACTTCAAACAAATATAAATAGTTCATCGATTGGTCTATGTCAGTACTTCTAGAAAACTCAACTACGTAATACTATGCTCAATTTTGTACGTTGTAAAAAAATTGATGTCAACCTGACTAACATGAGGAGTTTGATGCCCAACATACTTAAAATATGAAGCGATTTCAATGAAACTTGTCACAGGTTAGGTTATACTAATAATATAATAAAATTCGGTACGTTATGCCAAATTTCGTGCAAATTGAAGGATATATAGGGACTTTGGTGCACCATTTACATGAAATCGGACGAAACTATATATGTGAGCTATATCTAAATCTGAACCGATTTTCTCGAAACTTGGCAGACATCACTCTAGGCTCAATTCAGTACGTTGTGCCAAATTTCGTGCAAATCGAAATATATATAGGGACTTTATTGCACCATTTACATGAAATCGGACGAAACTATATATGGGAGCTATATCTAAATTTGGACCGATTTTCTCGAAACTTGGCAGACATCACTCTAGGCTCACTTCAGTATGTTAAGCCAAATTTCGTGCAAATCGAAGGATATATAGGGGCTCTGGTACACAATTTATCTTAAATCGGACGAAGATATATATGGGAGCTATATCTAAATCCGGATCGATTTTCACGAAACTTGGCAGACATCACTCTAGGCTCAATTCAGTACGTTAAGCCAAATTTCGTGCAAATCGAAGGATATATAGGGACTCTGGTACACCATTTACATGATATCGGACGAAACTATATATGGGAGCTATATCTAAACCCGGGCCGATTTTCACGAAACTTGGCAGACATCACTCTAGGCTCAATTCAGTACGTTATGCCAAATTTGGTGCAAATCGAAAGATATATAGGGATTTTGGTGCACAATTTACCTTAAATCGAGCGAAAATATATATATGGGAGCTATATCTAAATCTGAACCGATTTTTCCCAATTTCAATAGGGTTTGTCCTTGGATCAAATAAGTGACATGTGGCAAATTTCATCCAAATCGGATATATATATATATATATATATATGTACTTTGTTTACAATTTAACACCAACAGACGGACAGACGGACAGACGGACGGACATGCATAAATCGACTCAGAAAGTGATTTTATGCATATTCTTAAAAGGAGCTATGGGTCTATCTCGTTTCCTTTTGCCTGTTACAAACATATGCACAAAGACATAATACCCTGTACCACAGTGTGGTGAAGGATATAAAAATTGCAAAAATTTGATGGATGTGCGAAATTATTTTTTTGCGTTCATGAAGGCTTCTTCGGCAGTACATCTTTAAATTAACATTTGCGCAGCTAACAGGATCATAGAGATAATTTCGACAGATAGAATTATTTATATATAAAGTACAATGTCTTTCGTCATCTATAGAATTTCAAAGGTGATTTGCATAGGTAGAAGACCTCATAGAGATTTCTCTGGAAAATCTTTCAGAAGTTCTCCACAAGCCACAAGGGGACAATTTAACCATAGACGATCAACGTCTTGCCATTTTTGTAAATAAAGGATGATATGGAGTTAAATAAATTTATAGAGAGGCATGCTTACTACTTCTGTAGAAATTATACATGTCCCTACACTTGAAATGTTCTTCTATAGAAGAACATAAACTATTCAAATATTGGACTATACCTGTTTCAAATTTTATTCAAAACATTTCAATTGCAATTCGAGAATTTCATTTGTAAATCGAGAACTCAATTTGCAATTCATAACATTTCACTTGTAATACCAAATTGTATGATGTGAACTACAAATGGATTTCTCGAATTTGATTTGATATATTTTAAATAACATGCGAAAAAGGTGTAGAAGTTTTTCCTATAGGTGGAGTTCTAAAAGAAGATCAAAATGTCTTCCTACAGAAGATAAGAAGATTTGTTTATAGAAGATCTGACCAGAAGGTCTTCCTATAACAATAAATAATTCGAGTTATACAGAAAATCAGAAGGTCTACCTGTAGAAGACAAAAGACCTGCTTAAAAAGACGAGAAGGCTAAGCTGCAGAAGACCAGAATATGCTAATAGAACCCCTTTTAGATAACTTCTACGTACATATATAGGCTATATTTTTATACATAGAAGATCTTATAGGGGATTTATGTAGATGTGTTATATAAAATTCCTGAAAACTTTTTATTTCGAAAAACTTTCGAAAAGTCCTAAAGAAAATGGATTTTTAAATACCTCCGGGAAAACATATTAGTCCTTGTGTTTCTTCGGATTGATGAACTTATATATATATATTCATGTAATAGTCCTGCAACTGTGGTATATATAGAAGTTCTCTATAGGAAGACTTTCAACTGTAACTCACAACTGAATGCACCAAACAAAATATTTTTTTTACTCCGAAATGTCACCCTTACAACAAGCTATTGTTTGATCGACACTTTACAAGAAATCTATCAGTACAGTCATCTGCCGAAAAAATAAGGGATTTCTTTTCCCCCAAATTAACATAAACTTTTTCAGGTTCTATCAAAAGCTGAAGAACCTAGAAATAGCCTTCAACAGGGTTCTTTTTCACCAGGTTTAACACATTCAGTCGACCTTCATTAATTTAATTAATTTCAGATATATTCTTTAGATAGAAGTTCTTCCAACTGAAGTATCTTTAGATACTTCTTACCAGAGCCCGATGAATGGTACAGAAAGAGGTCAGAGTATCCTAAATGTAATCCAAAGAACTTCTAATTATAGAAACCCTTCCAGAAGAAGTACAGACAAAGTATGTTTTAAAAGTATTATGTCTTTGTGCATATGTATGTAACAGGCAGAAATAATCGAGATAGACCTATGGTTCCTTTTGAGAATATGCATAGAATCACTTTCTGAGTTGATTTATGCATGTCCGTCTGTCCGACCGTCCGTCCGTCTGTCCATGTTAAATTGTAAACAAAGTGTAGGTCGCATTTATTATCCGAATTGGATGAAATTTGGCACATGTCACTTATTTGGTCCAAGGACGAACCATATTGAAATTGGGAAAAATCGGTTCAGATTTAGATATAGCTCCCATATATATTTTCGTCCGATTTTAGGTAAATGGTTTACCAAAGTCCCTTAATATCATTCGATTTGCACGAAATTTGGTACAGTGTAATGAATTAGGTATAGAATGATGTGTGCTAAGTTTCCTGAAAATCGGTTCAGATTTACATATAGCTCCCATATATATTTTCGTCCGATTTAAGGTAGATGGTGTACCGAATCCCCTTAAAATTGTTCGATTTGCACGAAATTTGGCACAGCGTAATTATTTAGGTCTAGAATGATGTGTGCTAAATTTCGTGAAAATCGGTTCAGATTTAGATACAGCTCCCATATATATTTTCGTCCGATTTTATGTGCACCAAAGTCCCTAAATTTAGTACAGCGTAATGAATTAGGTATAGAATGATGTGTGCTAAGTTTCGTGAAAATCGGTTCAGATTTACATATAGCTCCCATATATATTTTCGTCCGATTTAAGGTAGATGGTGTACCGAATCCCCTTAAAATCTTTCGATTTGCACGAAATTTGGCACAGCGTAATTAATTAGGTCTAGAATGATGTGTGCTAAATTTCGTGAAAATCGGTTCAGATTTAGATATAGCTCCCATATATATTTTCGTCCGATTTTATGTGCACCAAAGTCCCTATACATCTTTCGATTTGAATGAAATTTTGCATAGGCTACTGAATTAAGCCCAGAATTACGTGTGTCAAGTTTCGAGGAAATCGGCGCAGATTTAGATATAGCTCCCATATATATATTCGTCCGATTTAAGGTAGATGGGGCACCAAAGTCCCTATATATTTTCACGAAATTTGGCATAGGGTACTGAATTAGGTACAGAATAATGCGTCCTAAGTTTTATGAAAATCGGTTCAGATTTAGATATAGCTCCCATATATATTTTCGTCAGATTTTATGTAAGTGGTGCACCAAAGTCCCTATATATCCGAAATTTGGCATAGCGTACTGAATTGAGTCTAGAATGATGTGTGGTAAGTTTCGGAAAAATCGATTCAAATTTCGATTTATCTCGCACATATACATATATATTCGTCTGATTTTACATAAACGGTGGACCAAACTCCCAATGTTAATTTAGTTTTATTGAAATTGGTGCAGCTTCCATATGTATTTCGAATTCTGATTAAGATTAAATTTTTAAAATCAATTTTGCTATAAATCGTTTTCCAAAAATTGGTCCCATAGTACACATACGATACTAAATCTGACGGAATAAAATTATATATATCATAGGTTGCAGAAAGACAGGAATACGTTCCTTCGGGGGAACATTGACATGTAATTGTAAGGATACATATGTACAATATAACCAAAGTGGTGAAGGGTATCATATAGTCGGCCCAGTCCAACTTTACTACTTTCTTTACTGGTTTTCATACAGACTTTAACATATAGATTACCTTCTAAATTATTTTCATATAATAAAAGGTCCATATAACGGTACCTCCCATTATTCTGTATTTTGGAAAATTTTGCACCAAATTGTCTATAATTTAATATTTTAAGTATGCATTGGGTGTCAGAGCCCATATAAAAGTCACGAACATCGCAATTGATTTTATGTATATTTAATGTCCAACACATTGTGGAGGGTATACAATTTCGGACCGGCCGAACTTAACGACGGTTTGTTTATTTGTTCCGACATTTTATTGTGATAGAAGCCCTATCAAAAAACAAATATGAAGTCTGATATAGCGAAAGACCTAACTCAAAAGTCAAGATTCTTGATTTAGTCGGTCTTGCAGCAAATGAGCAATATGAGAACATTTGTGAACTGAAGTCCGTAAAACGTTTGCTATAAATGAAATGCCTGTCTGGGGAGTTCTATAGATTAATAAGTAACTACCGAGGTCCTCTATAAAAAATGATTTTTATAGAGGACCTCATGTATAAATAGTCAGACTTTCATTTTTTACGAACATTATTCGTTTTGGGGGTAATCATTTTCTTATGTCATTGCTATTGACTAAATGTTACATATTGCTTTTTATGTGTGTGTATGTGTGTTTATTTAATCACATAATCAAAAAATCAATTAACTCATCTAAGTTATATAGAATTAGCTAATAAAATATATAGCATAATATTAACAATGGTAATAAAAATAAATGCACTGTTAGCTGAGGAATTTGCACAATATTATCTACTAAAACTCACAAAACTTCCACCCCACCGACACATAAATTACAAAATCCACCCTTTGATTTTCAAACATGCATGTCACCGATTCGTATGCATTTATTTGATTTTTTTTCGAGTATCGGCACATTCATTTTAATTTCTTTTTTTGGTATTTTAATGTAAAATACCTATTTTTTGTCGTGTAAATATTTATTGGTTTTGGGATTTTGTTTTTTAGGTGATCGGCAGCTGATGCAATCGTTGGTATTCGATGCTCGTGTTACCGAATGGTTTTCCAAAAATACCAGTTTTAATTCCAAAGATGACAAGGGGTAAGTAATTGAAATTATTTAGATATTTTTATGAGGCATGTGTGAAAAATTTTTTTTTTTACATGAAAAATGTCCTCTTCAAGAAATGAAAAAAAAAAATAGAAAAAAATTGCTCACAGAGAAATGTATTTTTCGACGATGGGTCTACAATCTGGAATTTGTAATTACATAAAATGAGATTCTGACATTATAGCCCACAAAGTAGAGGTGTATTTTTTTGTTGACAAAATATATCGTACCGTGTATAATTGTATCTTAGGTACCACCAGATTTCATTTAGGGTATCTTTATTATGCGAATATGCAATCGTTTGAAAGAAATCAACAAATTAGGTTTACATTTGTATGTAAATATGTGGCATATACCGGGTTAGATTATTTTTTTTTTAATTTTATTGAATGAAAGCAACAAATGTCGGAAATAGCATCAGATTTTAGAATAAGTGTAGATTTGTTCGAATTGGTCACCTTTGGCACGAATTATGACCGTCAAACGTCACACGCTGCCCGAATGTTGCTCTGCGGTACTTTGGTCCATTCCCGACGAAGCGCTTGTTTGAGGTGATCGACACATTGGCCTTTTTTAGTGCCAACCTTGTTTTCCAAAATACTCCAGACACTATAGTCCAATGGATTGATATCCGGACATTTTGGTGGCCATTGTGCGCTGCAAATGAACCGAGGAACCTCATTTGGTAACCATTCTTGGGTGGCGAGTGTTGAGTGTCATGGTGCTGAGTCCTGTTGGAATGTTCAAGGTCTGCGGCCAAAATGTTTGCTTGCCCAAGGCTTTAATACACCCTCCAGAATATTTTCGCGATTATTATATTATATTTTGATGGCCAACCGAAGGTGCTGACTTCTTTGGCAAGTAAACGCGATAATTTTTTTTTTTTTTTTGCTGGACAACGAATGTTTTCTCATCGGAGAAAACCAAATACGGCAGTTCGCCACTTTCGGTCAAGCGAAACAACTCTTTAGCTCTTTCTTTCTGTTGCGGTGTAAGTTCTTGCACTTTTAGTAATTTCAATGGATTTATTCCGAGCTCATTTTTCAATATTTGTCGAATGGAATATTGCGACACTAGTCATTTTTCGGGCACTGCGACGCGGGTTTCCATCAAGTCGCTTTTTTACTTTTCCACATACATATTCCAATGCGTCTTCTTATAGATGGCCAGAGTCAACCATATTAGATTCGCCAAAGTCATTGAAATCGAATGTATCAGTTGATCAGGTATGTCGAGCCATTCTATCGAATCCACTTTTACATTTCCCTTACCAGAAATAAATTCCGTGTTTCTGGCGGTAATGAAACCATCGTTATTGAATATTTTGATTTGGTTGCAATTCTGGAACTGCAAGTGGTAACAGTCGTTTTTTGCACTACTTCCCGTAATATATTTTGGTTGAAATGGCCCATACATACGTTTGATGTTGGAGTTAATTGAACTCCACAAGCTGCTTCCCAATCTATTTTCCTTGCACCATCTTTAGGAACACTAAAAAGGTTACTTCTCCAGTAACATATTTTTTCTTTCAAATGCAACACACTCTCATTTTTTTGCCTCTTTAATCACAAATCACAAAAATTACGACTTCAATATTTCAAAATTGAATTTACGTTATGTATTTATTAAGGCGAATTCTAAATTCGATCGGTCGATGCGACTACATAATACATCTACCTTGCTTGTAAACAATATAATGAGCTGTCTCTGGAATAATTTTAACAGCTGTCGGACGAGTGACTTAGAAATGACAGCAGTCTGAAGTTAGTAGCCTTTTTTCAATCTCACCATGTATGTTGCTGATTTGAAGAAATTTAGTTTAGCATTCCGTTTTTAGCAACAGCAACTAAGCACCAGCTGCTATAGAAACTCCCAAAATAAGCAAGAGGAATAATCAACAAACTCCCAATCAAGCTTGCTCCCAATCGAACAATAGTTATTTGTTTTAAACATCAATTTCGATATTTTGAAATTCCCTCTATTGAAAATATTTCAAAAAAAAAAAAAAAAGAAACAAATAAACACACATTTTCTAAAATCCAAATTACGACGTAATAAAAGACGACTGCAAATATCAGAATGGGCTCCCGCCAATTATACAATTGTGATTTTGAAATATACGGCAAAGTCCAGGGTGTATTTTTCCGTAAGCATACTCAGAAAAAGGCTAAAGAATTGGGTATCCATGGCTGGATTATGAACACACCAGAAGGAACAGTTAAAGGACAAATGGAAGGAACTCAAACGGAATTAAATGAAATGAAATTTTGGCTATCGCATAAAGGCAGTCCAAAGTCGGAGATTGAAAAGGCATTTTTTGGCGATATGAAACCAATGGAAATGTATTCACATAAATCGTTTGCAATAAATAAATAAATGTGTATGTATGCACATACATACATTAGTAAATGCATTTTGTGGATTGGGATGTACATATGCATATATATGGTTAAATTCAAGGAGCAGGATATCTGGAGTGAATTGTAGGCAAGAAAAAAGTCCATTTATGAAAACCTGAAATTATAAATATCGTAAAAAATGTGCTTTTTGGTGAAAATCTGATATTTTAGATCTTTATGAAAAACCCAGTAGGGACCGTTCTCATTATTCGCTGAATGTTCAAGCTTAATTTCGACAGAAGTTTACATATGAGCCATATTTTAAATAATTAATTTCCCTATGGATATAAAGCCTACTATGTATTTTATTTCTTGAGTTCTCAAAGCCAAGACAGACTCTAACAAGGATTATCATCAGAGTTCGCATTGTTGATTATATACTCAGCCTTATGATTAATGAGGGTATATACATTTTGATAAGGCAAAAATGTGCCTCATCGAAATATTGGTTTTAGACCACACGTTTCTTTGCAGTAAATCCGTTTCATATAATTTTGGGTCGATTTACAAATATCCGTTCGTCTGTCTTTCTGGCCCACCATTGCGCACGACATTTCTCCAAGGGAATAACCGGTTTTTGCAAACATAGTTTATGTTCGATGAAGGGGAATATCGGTCCACTCCTTCTGGTACATCCCCCAGAAAATGTTCAAATGTTTGCTGAAAATTATTTTTGTATTAACTTTGCAAAATCTATTATCTTTATTAAGACTAAAGTCCGAAGATGGGACCCATTGGTCCATTCCTTGTGATTCCTTCCCCACAAAGATCCAATATTTTGAAAATTTGTAAATTTAATTAACTTAATTTGTAAATTTAAAGCAAAAGGAATGTCGTTTTTGGACCAAGTCCGTTTCAGAAAATTTGAAGTCATTAACAAATGTACGTCCTTTCGGCCGTAAGCCTTGCTGAACTGTAAATCCAATATCAAGAGAATGATTTGATACAAACTCTGCACATACTTATATTTCTTTTAAGCTTATATCAAGATCGAAGTTGGGGAATATGTCTCACAAAATGGTAAAAATTTAGCAGGAAATGAATTTTATAATTTAATGCGAATAGAATATCCGATTTAAACCATACTTTGCACAGACTAATATTTTAAGCAATGGAACATATGGGCCCATAAATCCAATATCAAGAGAATGTATTGTCCAATTTAATTCAAATTTTATACTTAGGAAACTCCACCCCTTTTGGAACCTCCCACACAAATTGAAATAATTCAAACAGTGATTTGGCACAACTCCACAAACCAAGACCAGTAAGGAATGTAGTAAAGTCGGACAGTGCCGACTATATGATACCCTTCACCACTTTGGGTATATTCAACAGATGAATTCCAACAGATGTCGCATTTTTGAAGGACCAGTAAAATGAAATTGGATTCATAAACATGTCATTCTGCAACCGATACTAAATTTTTCATTTGGTCAGATATAGAGTTTCTTCTTACAATGGGACAAAATTATGTAAATCAATTTAAAGCAAATATAAATCGGATACCCGTTGATTATTTGGATAAATATCTGATCCTATATCTAAATCTGAACCGATTTCAACGAGACTTGCCAGAGATTAATTTATATTAACCAGAGATAAATTTATATTAACTTCATTGTACAAAATTGTGTGGCAGCTGGAAAAACTTAGGGTCTTTAGTGCACAATTTACATAAAATCGAAAGAGAAAATATATAGGAGCTATATCTAAATCTGAACCGATTTCCAGGAAACTTAGCACGCATCATTCTAGACTTAGCCCAGCACGCCATGCCAAATTTCGTGCAAATCGAAAAATATATATTGACTTTGGTGCACCATTTATATAAAAACGGAGGAATATATATATGGGAGCTATATCTAAATCTGAACCGGTTTTCACGAAACTAACAGAAATTTGGTGCAAATCGAAAGACATATATGGGGACTTGGAAGCCCCATTTACCTTAGATCGGACGAAAATATATATGCGAGCTATATATAAATCTGACATGCACGAAATTTGGCATAGGATACAGAATTAGGTCCATAATGATGTGTGTTAAGTTTCGTGAAAATCGTTTTAGATTTAGATATAGCTCCCATATATATTTTCCTCCGATTTAAGGTAAATGGGGCACTAAAGTTCCTATATATTTTTAGATTTTCTCGAAACTTAGCACACTTCGTTCTGGACTTAATTCAGTACTCTATGCCAAATTTCATGCAATTCAAAAAATATATAGGAACTTTGGTGTCCCATTTACCTTAAATCGGAGGAAAATATATATGGGAGCTATATCTAAATCTGAACTGATTTTCACGAAACTTAACACACATCATTCTGGACCTAATTCTGTACCCTATGCCAAATTTCGTGCAAAACGAAAGACATATATAGGGACTTGGAAGCCCCATTTACCTTAGATCGGACGAAAATATATATGGGAGCTAAATGTAAATCTGACCCGTTTTTCTCGAAACTTGGCACACTTCCTTCTGGACCTAATTCTGTACGCTATGCCAAATTTCGTGCATATCGAAAGATATACAGGGACTTGGAAGCCCCATTTACCTTAGATCGGACGAAAATGTATATGGGAACTATAAATAAATCTGAACCGATTTTGACGAAACCTAACACACATCATTCTGGACCTAATTCTGTACCCTATGCCAAATTTCGTGCATATCGAAAGATATAAAGGGAATTGAAAGCCCCATTTACCTTAGATCGGACGAAAATATATATGGGAGCTATATATAAATCTGACCCGATTTTCTCGAAACTTAGCAAACTTCGTTCTGGACCTAATTCAGTACTCTATGCCAAATTTCGTGCAAATCGAAAAATATGCAGGAACTTTGGTGCCCCATTCACCTTAAATCGGAGGAAAATATATATGGGAGCTATATCTAAATCTGAACCGATTTTTCCCAATTTCAATAGAGTTCCTCCTTGGGCCAAATAAGTGACCTATGTCAAATTTCATCCAATTCGGATCATAAATGCGACCTGTACTTTGTTTACAATTTAACATGGCAGACAAGCAGACGGACGAATATGCATAAATCGACTTCGAAAGTGATTCTATGCATATTCTCAAAAGGAACCATGTGCCTATCTCGTTTCCTTTTGCCTGTTACAAACATATGCACAGAGACATAATACCCTGTACCACAGTGTGGTGATGGGTATAAAAACATATAAAAGTCAGGATACGGGGGTAGTACATATGTGATAGGCTGTAGGTATATATCAGCCTGAAAAATCGACTGACAAATTTTCACATATTTCTACGAAAATAACAACATTTTAAATTAATATGGAGTAACATTTCAGATAAACGTAAAATTCAGAAACCAATCTTTGAATTCGAATAAGTTGCATCTCTGAAAAAAAAAATATTATATATTTATTTGAGATTATAATTTTTTGTGCACATTTTATTATATTACAATGCATTTCTAGCTAATATATAAAAACCATTCTCTACATTATCATGAAAATAACTCAAACAAAAACCCCTCCCTTTCTGCACCTTGCATTTTTTTTATTTATTTTTTTGTGTCATTCCTTTGTCTTTTGCCACTCTTAATGACATTATATCATTTGAAATCTATAATGCAATTTAAAAAAAAAAATATTTAACATTAAATTTAATTACAAAACATACAACAACAACAAAAACAAATGTTTTGTTTGTTGCACAAATATATTCATTTTTATTTTGGAAATGCACAGATCAAGCGCATCAAATCCCATTTCAGTTTTGATGGGTTTGTTGCCAAGGTAACAATAACAAAACAAAAAAAAAAAAAAAAAAAACAAATATTTGAAAAAAAAATAAAAAAATGATTTATAAAAAAAATCTTCAATATTAAAATCAAATGTATATTAATATATTTATTTGTTTCATTTACTATTATTTCTATTGCTTAGAAATGAGTTTAAAACACGTTTCGGTATTAATGTGGCATTTTTGGCCACACACAGCGGCCTAACGAGATGGCAGGAATTTCATTCTAATATTGCCGAAGAAGTGGGACCGGGGTAAGTTCACATATATAGATCATTTTTTAATCTCATATTCAATGAAATTTTTGTTAACAAAAATAAACATTTAGTGAGAAATTCAGTGAAACCAATAACAAGGCCATTGATGAAATTTGGTATAAACGTGCCGTCGATCAACATTTTGTGCGCGAAGAAAGTTTCGTGTATTCCGTGCCCTTTGATGCTGGTGAAACGACGGTCGATCCCATTGTCACTGCTAGTCATGCTATATTCCATACCGAGGGTGGTAAATCGGCACCCGCGGCCGTTGTTGGCTTCCAGTTCCAATATAGTGCTTTACACAAGCTGTTCCGCAACATAACGGGAAATGTAAGTATATCCTCGATAATATTACACAATAATATTAACATTTATTTGCTATCTTTTCCTACCGACCTACCTTAGGCCTGTGCTGCCGACGATAAGGCCTGCTATGTCCTAGATAATAATGGCTTTATTATCGTATCTTTGAATCGTCACGAAACGGGTCGTTTCTTTGGCGAAATAAACGGTGCCATTATGCATCGTTTAGTCGAAGAGAATGTTTATAAAAAAGTTACGGTCTATGATTATCAGGCCATATGTTTTGTACCGGATGGCGATATGAATTCATCGCCGAATATGTTAGCGGTAAATATGTTGAAGATTCGTTAGTTTTTTATTTTATTTATTTTTTTTGTTTTGGTTTTGTATTGATGAGTGTTAACACTTGATTGGGATGACATTTTCAAATATTTTTTTAAGGGGACCCCCCCATTCTCGGGGTCAAAAAATTTTTTGATTTAATTCGAATCTACACTAATTCAAGAATGTCCCTACAAAATTTCAAGTGAAAATCTCTAGAACTCTTGAAGATGTAGCCGATTTATAGTGTCAGCATCAAGTGACGGCTAAAGGGCTTCTCAAATTCTAAACGCGTTTTTTTTCTTTTGTGAATGGCGGGCACGATAACTCAAAAACTAATAATCCAATCGATTCCAAATTTTTACACGTTTCTCTGTGAGTGTATAGCTATCGTATGAACTAGGATAAAGCCAATCGTTGAAGATCTTCCTTATTTTTTAACTTGGTTTTTTTGTCAAAAATCGGCGATTTTCCAAAAATATTTTTTCAAAGGTCCGCCATTTAGTTCATTTTACAGCGAAGTCAATAAATCCAGACATGTAGTCTTTCTAACACCGTTGGAATTTTCGTATTCCGACGTTTCAGTGTGGAGTTATCATGCCCGCCATCAAAAATAAGGACTTCTCTTAAATTACAAAAAAACAACAACAAAACAATTACAAAATTTTTTTGTAAATAATTTTTCCTCTCTTTTAAATCTTCAAATATATATGTGCAAAGTTACAAACCTTAACAACCTTTGATTTACCAGTCCATTGAAATTCTTGAAAAATTAAAATCGAGAATGGGTGGGGTTCCCTTAAGTCACAATAATCTGGATGGCTGACAAAGGACAAAAGTAATATCTGACTGAATGATTCACGTTCGATGGAACCCTTGCCAGACATTTTGGCGACAAAGATAATGTCAGACTGAATGATTCACCTTCGATGGAAACCTTGCCAGGCTTTGATCTGCCACCTCAGTGCTTATAAACGATACAGAACTCCGATCATCCGTTTATTTCTGGATTCGAGAGCAACATACTCCTTGAACACAATTCACTAGACCCTATACCATAGTTGCAACACTTCTTTCTTCTCCTTATCGGACGAAATGTCAATAGTGAATACGTATCGAATTACTATTGACATTGTCACCAGTACCACTGACCAATAGCCGGACAACTACATATATTTCCCTAGAAACATTTTATATGAACATGTCGTTCGATAGTGTCATTGTCAATAGTGGGTTAATACCGGCATTGGGGGTGGTGAGTCAATAAAGTCATGAATGTAGTGAGTCACTAAAAACTTTGGATGTTCCACAAAATCGCAAATATTTTCACCACAAAGTCGTCGACTAACTGACAATTTCTCTTTTAATAAAAATGATTGACAACATGTTGACATCGTCGTAGAAAAAGTGTTGACAAAGTCCCCATATTTTTTGACAAATGTGTTTTTAGCTGCCTCTGCTTTAGCTGCCTCTGTTAGGACTTAACTCGGGAAAATCACAAATATTTTCACCACAAAGTCGTCCACCGACTGATAATTTCTCTTTTAATAAAAATGATTGACAACAGGTTGACATCGTCGCAGAAAAAGTGTTGACAAAGTCCCCATACTTGTTGACAAATGTGTTTTTAGCTGCCTCTGCTTGGTTGTTAGGACTTAACTCGGGGAGTCGACCCACTTGGTGTGTGATGATATCTCGGAAATTTCTTTCAGCTGTCCAAACATAAAAGTAATGGGACAGTTCTTTGAACCGGCGTTCAATTAATGTATTTCCTGAACTCGTTCCTATTGGCTTTCGCATGCTAATAAAAAGTACGGCGTTCAGAGGTTATGAAAGTTGCAAGCGTTGAATTGTGACTCTAAGATTTGTTGCAGTCCCAGTTGAAATTTGTTTTTGAAAATTTCTGAAATTGGTTCGACCGATCAAATGTTAACACAATTCTCAAAATAACACAAATATAATATTTTTTTAAAACTTTTTTTAACAACACTTTTCATTTATTTCTTATATATCCCCTTACTTTTTTTCTCTCCATCATTTTTTTCATCAACCAAATTGGACATCCTTGTTTTGTGACTGTGTGTGTGTTTTTTTTATTTCATATAAAATTGTTTTCTTTCCTTTATAGCCTCTAGTCCATGTATTGAGAGCCTTTAGATGGTTACTATCCACATTAGTGCTATTCTTATTAGAAATTAGTAGGGTTGCCGCCGATCTCTTCGAACATTATGTGGATGAAAATATGACAGATTATATGGTAAATGTTAAAAACAATGAATGGGTACGTCTGGTCACGCTACAGAGGACCAGACTGAAACAATGTGACATGCAACGTGACCTCTACACGTTGTACAATGCAACCGGCAATGTTGCCTACAACATGACGGCACATGGCTGCGAACGGCCATTTGTCGTCCTTCCCATACCGGCCAGCAATTTAATATTGCTGGTCATCGATAAGCTATGTCCGCGCGATGTATCGCACGTCTTGACCGTTAATCCGATGGATATAAATTATCCATTGGATGAGAATCAAACATTGGCATGTTTCAAAAAGGATCATGAATTTTCAAGAGTACGTCCGACCAGTTGCATAAATAAACATATAAATGTAAGTAAACCAAAAAAATAAACAAAAATGTCTGATGGCTGTCTTGTTAGACATAACTATGCATGCATTGAACTAACAACAAAATAAATAAAATTATAAGGGATTTTTCCATGGAAATATAACAGCAATAACAAATACTATCTATATCGTATATGAGAAGTTACATTTCATAAGGCTTCCATTGCGTTTTTATTTTACATTTTTGTTTTCATTTAATAATTATTGGTCTTTTATTTTCAAAATTTGTGGTCTTATTTTAAGAGGGTACATTATTGCTTTCATCTTCGATGCGAAGATTTTACGGAGCGAATAAAAATTATGTCTTGAAAATTCAATTATTCTTTTGCATTACTCAATGTTGCTGCATAACATTATTTAGTTTTGTTTCTTCAATAAATTGGGCATTAAATCATGGCATGTTTCTACGTTTTGGTTGTCCTCTATGTAACGGAATCAGGCAAATATTTGAGCATATATTTTTTTTGATATTAAATAAAATAAAAATATTAGATTTAGAGAAGAAAAGGGATATCTGCTAGCAGATCTTTGTTTATGCTTCGAAGTATATGTATTCTAGCTTATTTTGTCTATTTAAAAAAAAGGTGAATACAGACCAGTTGGTCTGTATAGTCTTTATATAGACCAATTGGTCTGTATAGGACATCTTATATAGACCAATTGGTCTGTATAGAGACCAAAGGTCTTTATATAGACCAATTGGTCTGTATATAGACCAAAGGTCTTTATATAGACCACTTGGTCTGTATATATAGACCAATTGGTCTATATAAAGACCAAAGGTCTTTATATAGACCAATTGGTCTATATAGGCCATAGGTATTTATATAGACCAATTGGGCTGTATAGAGACCAAACGTCATTATAAACAGACCAGCTGGGCTGTATATAGACCAAAGGTCTTTATATAGACCAATTGGTCTGTATAGAGACCAAAGGTCTTTGTATAGACCAATTGTTCTATATAGATGCCATAGGTCTTTATATAGACCAATTGGTCTAGGGGCCATAGGTATTTATATAGACCAATTGGTCTATACAGAGACCAAAGGTCTTTATATAGACCAATTGGTCTGTATAGAGACCAAAGGTATTTATATAGACCAATTGGTCTGTATAGAGACCAAAGGTCTTTATATAGACCAATTGGTCTGTATAGAGACCAAAGGTCTTTATATAGACCAATTGGTCTGTATAGAGACCAAAGGTCTTTATATAGACCAATTGGTCTGTATAGAGACCAAAGGTCTTTATATAGACCAATTGGTCTGTATAGAGACCAAAGGTCTTTATATAGACCAATTGGTCTGTATAGAGACCAAAGGTCTTTATATAGACCAATTGGTCTGTATAGAGACCAAAGGTCTTTATATAGACCAATTGGTCTGTATAGAGACCAAAGGTCTTTATATAGACCAATTGGTCTGTATAGAGACCAAAGGTCTTTATATAGACCAATTGGTCTGTATAGAGATCAAAGGTCTTTATATAGACCAATTGGTCTGTATAGAGACCAAAGGTCTTTATATAGACCAATTGGTCTGTATAGAGACCAAAGGTCTTTATATAGACCAATTGGTCTGTATAGAGACCAAAGGTCTTTATATAGACCAATTGGTCTGTATAGAGACCAAAGGTCTTTATATAGACCAATTGGTCTATATAGAGACCAAAGGTCTTTAAATAGACCAATTGGTCTGTATAGAGACCAAAGGTCTTTATATAGACCAATTGGTCTGTATAGAGACCAAAGGTCTTTATATAGACCAATTGGTCTGTATAGAGATCAGAGGTCTTTGTATATACCAAATGTCTTTATAAAGACCAATTTGTTTTTTTTTTTAAGGATTAGGTTTATTTATCTCTTGAGGATTAGGTATAGCCATCTATTTCGAACTTCTATCTTCAGGGAAAAATTATTATTTATTTTTTATTTAAATTATTCTCTATTGCTTTTGATGTCCTATTGTGTATTATTTCTGATCTGTTTTGGCAATTTAATACAAATATGCATGCATACAAAAACAATTATTTATATGCGCTATATATAAGCAATAAACATTTCAAAGTGGAATACTCCTTACACTACTTTGTCGTCGTCGTTACTGTCAGCATATACGACAGCTAAAGGTTTTTTTCATAAGTATGATCTGTCAAGTTTTCAGCTCATGTATTTACAATAACAATTAACAAGGATGGTTATGTCATAAAGTCAGAAAAATACAAATATATTATATATAAGTGGTATATTAACTAGAGGTTAATGTATAAACCATCTGACTTTTGATATAACTCAATAATAATATGTATATATTAATTTTATATTAATATATATGTATATTAATGTTAATGCTTTTGATAGAGCTGCAAGTGTAATAAAATATAAAGGTGTACATAATTTATAAAAAAAAATATATATATATATATACCCATATAAACATGCTATAAAATCGCTAATAGAAATCTCATCATAATATTGCACATTAGATTAAAATGCATTATCAGCACCAGCTTCACTAACATTTTAAGTTTATGTACATATAATTATTTTTTTATTTTCTTTATTTTTGTTTTCGTAATATAAACTGTTATATAAAAGAACTATATTTTTTATTATTATTTGTGAATAATTAATATACAAAAATGTGGCTTATACAATTTGATATAGAGTCCGCAAATAGAAGAAATTCATATTCGAATGTTTTTATCGTTCTTTTCCACTTCGTATGTTTTTAAGTATAATCGGTATATTAAAATCGGTAGAAAAAATGGTTATATTATCTGAAAATCCGGTTAAACACATTCGAAATCCGGATCTGTCTTCTACGAATAATATTTTTAATAATTCAAACGAATCCGAGAATTCTTCAAAATCTCATTGCTATACATATATATCTGCCACCACATCATGTATTATATATATATGCACAACAAATAATAATTAAGTATATATTTATTTTTATTATAAGATAATTTTGAATATTCTTCCAAACCATATTTTCTAACACTTCATTAACACGGAAGTTGTAAGTATATAAATGTTGAATGTGCGTTGCGGTAAGATTGAACTTTAATCCATGGAAAATCCTTTTACGAAAAATAAAAATAAAATTACAATTAAAAAACTAACTTCCAATTTACATTACATACATATTTATTAATATTTATATTTATCTCCATTCCTCTTACCATTACATTACAGGAAAGCAATATTGAATTATGCGGCAGTGCTTCGAGTATTTTTATAAATATTTTCCTATTTATTATAGCCTTATGTTCCAGTCGTTTTCTCTAACATAGCTTTATTAGAACATTTAATACCTAAAAACACAAAAAAAAAGGAAAAATCAATTGTTTTTGTTAACTAAACTGAATTTTTGTTAAAAAAAAAATTAGAATAATTTACCAAAAAACCTACAAACAAACTTGTGCATTGTACATTTTGTAATTTACCAAAGAAAACAACAAAACCAAAAGAACAAACAAACTATTTGTTTAAACATTATTTGGAATAATTTATAGTGTAGCTAATGGAAATTTCAAAGGACCTTAAACGTAAACAATTCTATATATACATACATATATATAAAACAAACAACTAAAAATTTAAATTAAAATAAAATAAAAAAACAAACAATTTTTGTAAATTATATAACTAAGAATCACAAATTAAAAACAAAAAACAACTCATAAAATGGATTTAGCTTAAAATTTTTAGATTTAATTAATGAAAGAAAAGAAAAAAAACAAACACAACCAAAAACAATCAATATGGAAATCATTGTCAGCTTTTATGGCATATATGTGAATTTAATTTTTTTTGTATTATTATTTATTATCGTTTTGAAAATACCGGAAGTACATACCTACAAAATTATATGGACCTATAATGATACTCACTTGAGTCTTTGATTTCGGCTACGATCTCCAAAGTACCTTGAATAGAAGCAATGATAAAACCTTGTCCCATACATAGAAAATAGAAACAAAACACATCTCTGTATAAATATGCTACTGGGATCTTCCAAATTGTCAAAGTCGATGTGTGTGTACCATGTCAAAACTTAATCCTATGCATAAAATTGTCTGGAGACCCGAAAATTTTGACAGCAACTAAAAACGTCGTCAAGCCGAACAGAATTTGTTATACCCTCCACCATAAAGTAGATATGTTAAATACCCGTAAACGTTCAGGACATTTGTATATCATGGTAAATTTTTAGGTAGTAAAATTTGACATCTACTGAGAGCTAATTCGGCTTACCTCCAAAAAGGATCCCCGAAAAGTGGGCCAATATACAGACTTTTGGCAGGAATTTGGGCTATCCGATACCAACCTTCAGCAAATTCGGTTAAAAAGCTTGCCTAAACTTCCTAAAACACTGACATTTGGGAGGTATCTTATAAGGGGCTATCATATAAAGTGAACCATTACTGATAATTTTTGGTAGGGAGTATTACTAACCAATGTTAATTCAAATTACCAAATTACTGCCAATTCGGTTGAGAAACATGCCCATAATATCGTAATTTCAGAGGTGCCGTTATAAAAGGTGGACCAATATTGGGAATTTTTGGAATTTTCAAACCAACTGAAAATTCAAAAATTCAAGTGAAAATCTCAAGAACTCTTGAAGATATAGCCGATTTATTGTGTCAGCATCAAGTGACGGCTGAAGGGCTTCTCAAACTTTAAACGCGTTTTTCTCTAAACATTGGTTTTGCGAATGGCGGGCACGATAACTCAAAAACTAACAACCTAATCGATTGTAAATATTTACACGTTTCTCTGTGAGTGTATAGCTATCGTATGAACTAGTGAAGGTTTTTGGTAAAAAATTGGCGATTTTCCAAAAATATTTTTTCAAAGGTCCGCCATTTTGTTAATTTTAGAGCGAAGTCAATAATCCTAGTTCATACCAGAGCCAGACATGTACTCTTTCTAACACCGTTGGAATTTTCGGATTCCGATGTTCCGATGAGGAGTTATGATGCCCGCCATCAAAAATAAGGACTTCTCTTTAATTACAAAAAACAACAACAAAACAATTACAAAATTTTTTTGTAAATAATTTTTCCTCTCTTTTAAATCTTCAAATATATATGTGCAAAGTTACAAACCTTAACAAGCATTGGTTTTGATTTTCCAGCCCATTGAAAATGTTGGAAAATTAAAATTGAGAATACCTTAATACCAACTTAAGGTATTCTCGATTTTAATATCTATACACTCACAAAGAAACGTGCAAAAATTTGGAATCGATTGGGTTATTAGTTTTTGAGTTATCGTGCCCGCCATTTGCAAAAAATGTTTAGTGAAAAACGCGTTTAAAGTTTGAGAAGCCCTTCAGCCGTCACTTGATGCTGACACAATAAATCGGCTATATCTTCAAGAGTTCTTGAGATTTTCACTTAAAATTTTGTAGGGACATTCTTTAATTAGTGTAGATTTGAATTATATCAAAATCCCGGTAATGGGGGGTCCCCTTAAAGCCAATACGAAAGAAAAAAGCATACAAACTCTCCAGAATACCGAAATTTGAGAGGTACTGTTGTATGGGGACTATCCTAACAAGCACCAATATTGATCATTTTTGTTGGGGGCTATTATTAAAAGTGGGCCAGTATCGATTATTTGGTTTAAAAATTTTCACAAGCTCCCTAAAATACTCAATAATGGAGAGTACCTTAAAAGCGGACCGATATTGATTATTTTCGGTTTTTAGAGTTCCTACCTAATGGGAACCCTATGTACCAAATTACAGTTAATTGTTTTAAAAAAAAAGCATGCCAAAAATCCCCAAAATATCGAAAATCTGGGGTACCGTTATATGAGTACCATACCAAAACCTTGACCTATATTTCTCATTTTCAATAGCAAACATCAATGTATGTTTACAATTTCAAAGCTCTATCATAAATATTACGAGCTCTATAGACAGACGGACAAAGCTAAATTTATATATAATTTAATTCTGATCACGGATATACATGTTTTATGGGATCTCCGATAAATATTTCAAGATGTTGCAAACGAGGTATACAAAAATGTTCCGAAACTTCTCCAACTTCTTCCTCCAGGAGGTATTGAGTTCAAAAGGAGTTCAAACCGGTTCAGAGAGGGTTATTTTTTTCGCCACTGATACCTAATTTTTTTTGCTCTACCACAGGAGACTGTCAAAAATGGTCTGCATTGGTCCACTTTTTTGCATCATTCGATTCGATAAGGGAAAATGATACGTCTTTTGTAATTTTATCTTCAATCAGATAAATCTCAAAGATGGGTTCTATCGGTTCATATTTTCAATTAAATTGCCTGTCTTGGCTACAAAATTTTGTGTATTGCGGCATAGAATGGCACTAGCTGATTTTCGAAGATTTTGAACAAGTTTTAAGACCCAATGTGGTGCAATTTAAAATTTTTGGTTTTCATTGGTTGCAAATTTCCGCAAATATTATCAATATTCGTCTATGGTTTAATATATCGACTATATAAAATTGTTCACATTTTTAGGATTTTGCGAACAATAACAATTTTCGAAGAGTGGCTGTAATGTATTATTTCTAGGCCTCAGCAGGATACAAAATATCTTTGGAAAGACTTCTAAAGTGACTACATTGCCCAAGCCATCCACTTGCTTCGAAGTGTTACTTCCACGAATCATTTTCGTTGGATTTGATTCATCTTGGAAGATCCACACGATCGATTCCTATTTTGTTTCGGGGACATACTGTTACGATTGTATTGTCTTTGAAACACCTATATCGTATTTTTTCAAACATTTCTTTCAATTAATCGATATGAGCTTGTGATATGAGCTCAACGAATGGGGAAATCATGGTCAAACCGTACAGAGTAAATCAAATTAGACTTTCTAATAGACATTGTGTTTCCTTTGTCAGCATATAATTAGCCCTCAATACCACATATATGCCTACTGGTGAAGCTCCCAAGTTACAGTTTCACCAATCCGTTGGTGTATTTTTGGTATTTAAACAACCAAATTATAAACGACAGCAATAAGGAGTAATATTTTTTCTAATTTTCAGTGCTAACATTAAATTCTTTTGTGCCTTTCATGACTAAATTTGTTCTATATCTCCTTTAAAGTTAGTATATATTTTTCCCGAAAAGCTGCAATGATTTTCCATTTATCTAAAAGTCTAGAATTTATACGAAAAAAACAAACAACAACAAAAACGTAATAATAATAACAACAATATGTACCTTTTTTAGAACAATTAAAACCTAAGTTTTTATTTTTTATTATAAAAAAAAACAATAAAATGAAATATGAAATTGCATTTAATATAAAATAGTTAAATTTTAACATTTTAAGAAACGTGACACCATCATCATCACCTCAGTACCTCTCAAAAATATTCGCTGAAATCCATCAAATATTTATGCAATTACAGAAACAAAGAAAAACAAAATACGGAATATATATGAACTCAGCATATATAACAACCAAGTACTGCTTTATTTTTTAAACAATTAAAATAATTAATAGCATTATTTAAACAAGAAATTAGAGTGTTTAAAATATCGATTTTTTTTATTCTATGATTTCTTTTTTTTAATTTCTTTAAAAATGAATTTCGATTCCAAATGTTGTAGTAGCTTAACGCTTTGTTCAATTGATTAGTTCCTAAAGTGCATTATTTTAAAATATTTTTACTTTTTTTATACTCTATATATTCCATAATTTTTATTTTATTTTGATTGAGACCGATTTTAAGTTATTATTTATTGTATTTTTTGATTTAATATTGTAGTCGATATGTTCATCTTTCGATATTTTAACACTCTTAATTAATGCCGAACCATTGAAATAGCTTAGGATACCGAAGTAATAATCATATGACTAATATTGTTGTTATATAGTCCAGAAACTACAATTGAAACAAAATTTTCGAATACGAATAATATGGAAACAAACTAATTGACAAGTTTTGAAAATGTGCTAAAGCTTTTTACTTAATTAAGTAATGATTTATACTTCAACATTTATTATATTAATAAATAATAATAATAATAATAATAACAAAAATACAACAATAACAAAATTAAAAAAATTAAAACTAGCATCCAAACTTTGTTTTATTTGGGATATAGTATAAACAAATAAAAAAGGGTTTGTATGTATTTTAATGTTATAAATAAACCAGTAAGGAAAGTTGTAAAGTCGGACTGGGTCGACTATATGATACCCTTCATCACTTTTTGGTATATTGTACATGTGTATCCTTACAATTGCATGTCAATGTTCCCTCGAAGCAACATACTCATGTCTTTCTGCAACCTATGATAAATTT